ATGAATAGGAAAGAAAATGAAGGGATGAATTTGTTGTGTTGAGCACATTGCGGTAGGTTGGCTTCTGTTTGTATGTACATGCGAACGTTTCCGCATGTCTCAAACAGAGCAACCTTTCTTTTTAAACAAGTTTTGTCAACCTCGTGCTGGAACTCGAAGTGCACGAGATTGGTCTCGGCATGAGTTGACATCTCGCAGCTCTGGCTGGGAGAGGAGGGGGGGATTCCCCCATTTTTGATCCTGGGTTTTTGTCCCACCCGCCCAACCCTTTCACACACTACTCCCAAGGGGGATTTGTGCGTGAGACTGGAAGGCCAGGATCCCGCCTCCTCAGGAGGCATGAGGTACGTCAACGTCAACTCAGACGACGATGATGACGATCACGAACCCAACGTATCCGGGGATGCAAGGCAAGCAGGAGGAAGCGAATGATAATACGGCAGCGCAAGAGAGGGACGCAGGGGTACACGTCCGGTAATGTATCTGAGGAGGAAGAGACCGAAGAAGAGTACCGCGACAATGACATGACTGCGCGCGACATCATCAACTCCCGGCAGATAGCAATCTGCTTGGATGAGCCAAGAGAGGCTCAATATATGGCGGGGTTTATTGCGCTGCAGATGTCAAGGATGTGGGGGATGTTCGAGGCTGGCGACAAACGAACGATTGACGCCGCGCTGAAGAAAGCCCCCGCATGTCCATACCACAATGACTTGTCGCGCTACCCCAACATCACTGTGCTTGATCGTGCTGGTATCGTCTTACCATCTACTGAGGAAGAGATTTCTCAATCTCAGGGTGTTCGATCAAGAACTTTCAAATCAATTGAGAACATTCGCTTTTCGGCGACCAAGTGCAAGGGGCTGTGCATCTTCTACAAACTGTGGTGTGCGGCGACTACCCTCGATGTCACCAAGGAAGAAATGAAATTACTGGTCAGCCCGTGGCCATTGGGACTTGTTGTGATGTTTGGACCGCGTGATGAGCTGTGCGACCCAAATGGGGGATGTTAAAACCCTCCTGGCCCCGTGCCTAAATTGGGAAGCCGTTCTCAGGTCCATGTTCTCTTTGGCTCAAGACTTGAGTGGGGCTTGTGGTCTTGCATGGACTTGCATATCCGAGTGAGAGGAAACAGGTGCGATCACGCTGCAGATCTTGAGCTTGTGTGCATATTTTCCACTCATTTGGCTGTTTGGTTTAGCCGTATCTCTTTACCACGTGATTGAGTACCATTCAGCTGGGAGCTTGGTGGACAGCGTCCCACGGGACGTCATCTTGCGCTCTCGACACATGGACACTACAACAAGAGCGCGATGACCTTCCTCCACGTCATACGTACAGGGAATGGAAGGTGTTCTATGACAAGGTTCATTCTCAAGACGGCGTTCGCTCCACTGTTCTTGGTACAAACGGGACTGGGCCACGGAAGGTTACAGGCGTGTCGCGGCTCCTGAACTGAACCTGATCAGCGCAGCGTGTGGCCGTCGTCGACTCTGTGCGTGTCTCCGCAGATGTTGGAGGCGATTCTACGATCCTCGGATGCGTCGGCCTTCTCTACTGAGGATCTCACTCGTCTGCAGGCAGGGATCTGCCAGCAACTTGCGGATCGCGCGCGTCAAACATCGCGGCCGCATCAACCAGTGCGTACTTCTCGAGACGCTGATCCTCCTGAATCTACTGGAGTCGCTGATCCTTATCTGCCCGCAAGCCGCCCCAGCAGTTCTGACGTCAAGGAGAAGCCCATTTTTTAATTTGTTGCTGAATAGACAGACGAGTGTCCACCATTAGGCAAAATGGTGCTGTCTTGTCATCTTGCTGTTTGTGTGTTGTCTGTTGCGCATGGTGGTTGGTTCCATTGCGTTGCTAGCTGGATCCCTATCTTCCATCTCAACATGGATATTGATGATGCGACCCAAGCGCGGGCCCTGGATGACGTCCAGCAGCCATGGCTGGAGCATTCAATCTGGCAGGAACGAGAGTGGGTGTGGACTATGGCGCCAGGAATGACGCGTACCTGTCCTACCAGAGAACATTTTTTGAGTGTGGAAACAGGTGACCTCGCCAGGTGATAAGACAACGATGGGCAAGGTCACCATGCGCATGACCATTCAGGATTGGCAGCGTCAAGGATACCAACGGATATTGACCCGCCATGAGTCTTTCTCCATCCACAATGCCTCGGATCAACAGCGTGAGGCATCTTCCGGATGTAAAAGGCAGTGTGCCTCGTAGAGTGTGCGGAGTGGCAGAATACCCTGTGAGCGCAGGGGGCAGGAGCACCATGGCAAGTCTCCTGCCAACGAAGACACTTGCCATCGGTGGTGCTACTGGGACTGATCATCCCAGCGTACCTGCATGTGTAAAGTGTTGCTGAATGTCCTTTTGGCCCCCTTGGTTGCGGCGCTGTTTGTGCTTCTTGTTCTTTCTGGTAACGTTTTCGCCTCTAGAGGGAAACCGAGTGCTTCGCGAGTCGAAACTTATCCTACTCGAGACTTATCAGTTGTACTCGAGACTCATCAGTTGTACTCGAAGGATTAGCGTCCTCCCTTGGGAGTTGAAGTGTGTGTGTGTGTGTTGCACAACCAGATGGAAGCCACTGTGTTGGCCATGTCGTTTGCGCTGCCAACCAGCTCTGTGTGTCCGTGCGCGTGTGTGACGGCCTGACAGCCTAGCTCGAGTTTTTGTTTTACATCGAGACTGCAGTTACGCGTTTGGGTTTCATTTTTCGCGGTACTTTCGGGTCAGGGGAGGGGGGGTGTGTTGCACAACCAGATGGAAGCCACTGTGTTGGCCATGCCGTTTGCGCTGCCAACCAGCTCTGTGTGTCTGTGTGCGTGTGTGACGGCCTGAGAGCCTAGCTCCAGTTGTTGTTTTACATCGAGACTGCGGTTACGCGTTTGGGTTTCATTTTTCGCGGTACTTTCGGGTCAGATGGAAGCCACTGTGTTGGCCACGCCGTTTGCGCTGCCAACCAGCTCCGGTCCCACGCGCTGACGTGCGCGACATGAACATCGGCGAGCCGTGGCTCTGTCACTGCGGGGCCCCAGCCGTGCTCAGCGTGCCTTTGTCTCCCCCAACCCGCATTTTGTTGCAACCCTTAAGGAAGCTTAAGGGTCGATACGTCAAACTTGTTGGTTCGTGCGTAGCTCAAGTTGTTTGTATGTTTGTTTCGTGTTGAGATGCGTTCCGTGGACATTTTTCTACCACCGGGCGGGTTGATTGTGAGTGGACGCACGTTTTGCTGCAACCCTTAAGGACGCTTACGGGTCGCTGCTGCTCGACCCTGCCAGAAAACAGCGCTAGCTTTCGTGGCCTTCTCTCAAGTATTTTTAGGCGGCCTTGATGTCCCGGGACAGCTGGTCGAAGCTGGGCGGAGGGCTCTGGCGGGATTGCCGGGAACTGCGGGAGCTCGGCCGGGAAAAAAAGACGTCAGCCTGCCAACTTTGGCCACGCCGTGCAAAGAGCAAGGCTAAAACTTAGACCAGAAGGCCCAAAAGCACTTAGAACTTCTGCGCATCTGAACGGAGTTCCGGCCTTAACTCTAGATGCGCCGTGGCAACTTGAACACAGGCAAGCGCAGTGGAAGTTCCAAGTCTCAGGCTCCGCAGAGGGTGCTTCTTTGCACCCCTGAGCCTGCCTTAAAGCAACGCCCGCCTTCAGAAGCGCGACCATCAGCTTTGTGTGCCTTCCCCTTTTTTGGGTTGTGGGGTTTCTCCATTGGGCTTAAAGCAGTGAACCGGATTTTAACACTTAGGATGGCGTGAACTTACTGCACGACAGCCGAGAAGAAGGAAAACTGGTTGTTGAACCAGATTGAAGTGATCCATGCACCCAAGCCCCTTTGGCATTGTTAAAGCATTTCCGAAGCCGTCCTTGTTCAATTTTTGTTAGTTTTTTTGTCAACCAATTTCGATTTGTTTTTGACTGTGTGAACTGCGGGGTGGGCTGGCGAAGTGAGCAAACCACCACCTTGCATCAAAATTCAGCAAACCCAACCTAGTCCTTTGAGAAGGAGGGTGGGAAGCACAGATGTCGTATCTCGGTCAACGTGTTTTTCATTCGATTGGTCTGCCCTTGTTGCCATTTGGTTATGCCGGCTGTACTTTGTGGCAGAGATGGTGCTGACTGCCATGTGTTTGGACACGCCTACCTACACACACTGTATATATACAAGCGCTGTCTCCATGGTACTCCGACCCGGGGGTCAAGAGTTCCTCAGGCAAAATTATGCAAGGAATGAATCCCAAAAAATTAAAGGTCCGCGGCGTCGCGGACATTGGTGAATTTTGCAGCGGAGAGAGTTTGAGGGGTGATTGCATTTGATCGGGATGGCACACCATTGCCACCTGCCATGAATGATGTTATGAACGGCCATGGGTTCACGCCACCCTGCATCAAAGGAAGGCGAGGCGCGAGTGTAGTATTGGAAGATGATAGGACAATACCATGTGTACAAGATGTACATTTTGCCCAAGACCCTGCGGACTCACGAAGGATCACTTTGCAAGTTCCGTTGCTGCAAAGTGTTGGAATCCCCTTTCAAGCAAAGATGAAACTTGCTTGTCTGAAAAAGCACGTTTTACACGTAAATCACACCCGCTCAGGGGGAAGCTTGGGTCCACAACCACAACATGATCAGCATGCCGCTTCCGACTTTTGGAAGCAAAGCAACAGCCAGTAAGTTGCTTTGTTGTCGCGACTCATAGGGCTTTCATTTTTGCTGCATCCTTCCCACATGTTCAACGGATTAGTCGGTTTGTTTTCCAGGCACCCCTTGCCAAGGGCATGGTGAACAAACCCACGGTCGAACGAGAGCATGTGTTGCGTCGGTAAGTTTTTGCTTCGGTAATTTGAGACGTTTTTAGGGACCACTTGCAAGCCGTGAGGTGCAACATTTTGCGATCGAGGTTAGTTGCATGTGGCTCGAACGTGAAGCGGCAAAACACGCGGCAAAACAAACATCATCCCCTTGTTTGAACGCATGTGCTGCAGGTGGTTTTTTCCGAGTTTGCGGCCCGCTTTCACCATGGCGCCGCCATGCGAGGATGAGGAAGCGCTACTGAAGGTGGAGGCGCGGATCCAAAGATTCAAAGATGCCTTAGCCGTTGAATGACCATTGCAACATGCTCATGCTCGATTGTGAAACCACATGCAACAAAGAGCAAAATAGTTATTGTATCATGTTATTTGCGTAACATGAATTGGTCATGACCTGGTTTGCGCAGGTACGTGGTTGGATGATTGCGCTGAATTAGCGACAATAGTCATTGAGCAAGACCGGGTTCCACATATGTGATTCTTGGAACAGTCAAAGGCAGGCGCAAAGATGAAGTACAACCAATTCATGAAGTGCATTCAATGGTGCGGAGGATATTTGGGGATGGGCAAGGGGCGCATCCCCAGTGGGTGTGCCCGGTTTCCAGGTCCAACAACGTGCGTTGATTAATTACTTTAAGAGGCAGATTAACAATGGCTTGTGATATTTTGCCATTTGCGTGTAGTTTTCCACATATGTGTCTTATTTGCCCATTGTCACCTGTTGCTATGTGTTAGCATTCCATTCGGCACCTGGGCGGATCGCCAGGAACTGCGCCCAGACAAGTGGATTGTTCCAGCAGCAATCCCGAAGTTCAAGCAACCGGTGCGGTTTTGTGCAAGGTAAGACTTTGCGTCTCTTGGATCTTTGTGATGAGGCAGTTCAAGAAACTGACTTCACGCAGGCTTCACTTTCATGTCCGGGAAGGGTTGACTGGCCTCACAAACTTTTTTGGCCGCACCAGACATCAAACTGCAACCATAGTACATGCCACTGGTTTTCCCGCCGTTGCCTCTGCTCTGCATTCGTTTTGGGATTCAGCCCCTCGAACCTTGAGGTGGAGGCCCGCCCTTGGCCCCGCCGCGCGCTGTTCGCCTCACTCCTTGTAGTCTTGGCGGGCTTGGCGGGCCTTGGGACGGGGATTCGCACCAGGCGGGCCGATTCATGGCTGCTCCAATTCATGGTGCTGTGGACGAAATCCGTTCGCACCACTTTGCAACCATGGGACACCACTGGGGAATTGAATTGCAGGCTGGAAATGCGACCGTTTTGGGAAGTCAGGAGCCTTCGCTGTGCAATTCAACGGTGGCCATTTGCGAAGTCCACAAATGCCGTGGAAGGGCATCCTCGCCCCAACCATCCAGGGCCAGATGTGTGGTCAGGATGTGCTCTATCAAAACCAGTCGGGGAGACCAGGATCGCTTGTATTTGAGGCTCACCAGTTTGGAGGGTTTCTGGAGGGTTTCTGGAGGGTTTCGTGCGAAATTGCTGTGCAACATCTCTGGCACGGACGCTGCAGGGGAGTGGCATCTGACGCTGCCGTCAGCTCACTGGAGATGAGCTGGGAGGACATTCCTGACATCGACAAAGTGGTGGCGCGAGCGGAGGGCCGCTCAACGAACCCAGGGAGCGGGGAGCCAGTTGGAGGGGCAGGTCGGGCATACATGTTCATTAAGGACCCTTTGGTGGACAGTTTCTCCATTGAAATTTATTTGCCGGGTGACGGAGTTTAGCCTTAACACCTGCCAGCCCGTGTGTCTTCCGAGGCCACGTGAGGTTCACTCAACATTTCAAGTATGGTTACCTTCAGGCGGCCAACTAAAGTGAGATCCAATCTATGCTCGTCGTGGTTGGAGGGAAACCACCCGTAGCTTTGAAAACTGGTGAACATGTTTACGTGGGAAGCCGTTCCATTCCTGTGTAAACGATTGGTTCAATGCTGTTTTTGAACGAATTCTCATCTTTCACAATTCAGCACTTTCCGTGGTTCCTTCAAGAAGGCTTTGGATTGTGCCTTCCCAAGTCAAGCAGAAAGCCAAGCCAAAGCAGGCTTTTCGAAACAAAAAAGATCCTAGCGATTCGGAACCAGGTGACGAGATTTACAAATGCATGTCCACATAATTTCCAAAGGTTTATAGCCGTCACCAGGTCAGATGGTCCCAATCGAAACCTCCTGCGGGGCCGCCTTTCCCACTTCTTTTGTTTGTTGGTTGTGGTGTGTGCTATGGGCCCATTGGCATGTGGGTATTCATAGAAACTAAGCCTTTCTGAATGAGCAGCTTCCAAGGCGCCATGGCAACAAAGCAATCACTGGGCAGCTTCCATGGCTTTTTTGACGGACCTCTGGTTCTTGTGCCGTCTTCCGTTTTTTTTTTTTTTTTTACCCAATCGGGCGCGCCTAGGCTTGAAGCCGATCGCGCCCGAAGAGCGGGAGCTGCAGGACTTGTTCTACGGCGCCCAGCCTTCCGAGCTGCCTTGGGCGCCTCGAATATGGTTTTGTGGTTGAACATGGTTGGTCCACTCACACTACCGTGGATGGTTGCGACATTTTTGTGCAGACCATGGTTTCTTGTTTTTTGCAGGGAAATCCAAGCCGATTGGCTTGGAGGTCCTTCTGATTTGTCAAACTGACATTGGCGCATTTCGGGCAACGAAGTTCGCTGACGCAAAGTCATTTGAGCCTTCATGTAGTTTTGGCGAGGGCAAGGGGAGAGGAGACGACATGTCAGCTGACATATTTAGGCTCCGGAATGCTGGAAAACGCCAACACGGAAACAATGTACAGGTTTTCACAGTAATCACTGAATTTCATTTGAACTCCTCGCCTGTTTCGCTCATTCTTTCAGGCCAGCAGGGAGGACGAGGAGGCTGTCGCCTTTTGGGGTTTTCGGGTTGCTTCATCGGAAAGAAAAGAATCCAGATGTCAATTGACCTCTCTCCCTTGTCAACACTCATCCTCCCTGTCATATCCCCCCCCGTTATCTCCTTTGACATCCAGACATCCCATGCACTCATGCATTTGTCCCGTATTGGCATCCCGTACTCGCCTGGCATTCCCACTGCTTTTTGGTTCTGCACGGTCTGCGTTTGCGGAATGTCTGCATTGCTGACTGAGATCCGCACGGAGTGCGTCATCGACGTGGTGCAAGCAACTGCGTATCTGGGCCAAGCTGTGGTCTTCCTGTACAAGGCAGGGTGGTTGAACTCGGATACCGAATTTCAGGTCACAAGCCTTGGATTCTTGGGTTGACCAGATACCGGGGGTGGAGAACTGGGACCTGGTCCTTCAAGATCTGTTACAACTCCCCAAACGTGTTTGGGGGTTGTAAAGGCCACCTCGCACGAGGTTTTTGGTTGGGACTCTTAGAGAAACCGTAGGGGGGGTTCCAACAGATGTCATTGGTCGAAAGCATGGCGACCAAGGTATGAAAGCAGATGGCCCAATGGTAAAGAGGACCTGTTACCAACATGTGTTGGAATTATGCCATCTACTTTCACCCATAACAGGGATTCCTGGAAGACAAAATTGACTCATGGCCATGAGTCAAAAGCCCGTACGCCCAGTGAACATCCTAATCTTAATCCCCACTAAAATAGGTTCTAAAATGGGTGGTGCGCCTACCCCAGAATGGGATCCCATTGGGCTCCCACAGCCACATGTCTTTTGAGGTCCCGTTTTTTGGGGAGCGTTTGTCTCAAGGCCATTGCCTACGACAGCCTGCAGTGCCCGGACAACTCCCCGGTGGGGTGTGCGGTGAGCGTGGCCGGCTTCCTCACCTCCATGCCGCTAGCATAGCGATTGCGATTGCGACTGCTGGAATTGGCTGTGGCTCAACAACATGGCAAACTGGGGCCTTGGTAAATGGAGCCAAAGACGAAAACTCGCGTAATCCTAGCTCTTTCATCTTGAGCCACACCCAAGTATATAGGGCTAGGAGGTCTTTTTTTGTTTATTCTTTTTTTGTGGAGGAGGCAAAGGGTTTGGCGTTTGGCCTGATTGGACAAGTGTATGGGGTCCTTGGAAGTGTTTCCTCGATTGCCAACCAGGTGCAAAAGGACATCGAGGTTTGGGTTTTTCTACCTAAAACTTGGGCTTGCAGATTCTTGCAGGCCGGTATGGGCTCTGGGATTGCCGGGATGGGAACACGTGGCTGAGCTTTCCTTGGTTCAGAAAAGCCGTCCCTCAGTTTTGACGCAGCGATCATCAGGCCAAGATCGGAATGCTAGGTGAGTGGCACCAACTCTACAGCGAGACGTGGTGTTTGGAGGCTCCAAGCACTCTCCATGCATCTTCAAAAAACCTGGGGGGGGGGGGGAAGCCAATCCCAATCCATGATCCCACTTCGGAACTGCAAAGCATTGACTCTGTTTGTACCCTCCTCTGTCCAACACCTGAAAAACCTGGGTAGATGAGAGCAAGGGACAACCATACCCCATACGGAGAACACAACATGGGTGGATTGCAGTGGGCTTCCAAGCAACCTGAAGAGGTTCCCTCAGAAACCAAGCGCTGATCCAAGACTTGAAACGTCGTGCATGGTTCTTGAACTCGCATCTGGGCTTTGGACCTCTCAAGTCCAACAGCAAACACAAAGCCTGAAGAGTGAGGAACAGCTCGAAGGACGGCCCTGAAGTCCAAACAAAACCTTCCCTCTGCGTCGTTTCGAAAGCATACATTTGGGCCACTTAAGCTCAGGCTTGGTGATTTAAATTTAAACCCTTGGAGGTTGTGGAGGGTAAGTGGGGGAACCACCCGAAGCCAGTAAACAGAGCGGCAGGATGTATCAAGACCTTTTGGTAGATGTTCCTTATTGACATGCAGTCTTACAACATTGAAAACATGTAGGTCGGCTTGGGCCCATGCACAAACGGCCCCAAAACACCGTAGTCTAAAGTAAAACCTTCACTTTTGGAGGAAACCCCCCTCAGTTCCGGGGTAACTGGTGTCCATTGAAACGAACGTTTGGAGGTCAAAAGGGAAACGGCTAAGAAACCCACCGTCCCCTGCTCCTTGTGGTTGACCGAGCGCAGGTTTTGGATCGGCTCCTACCTGTCCTTCGCCGCCAACGCCTGCTCGGACGCCGTGAACTCCAAGGCCTTGTGCGGCGGAGACTGGCTGGCGCCCCTCGACGGACCTCGGGCAACCGGTTGCCCTGGAGACTGAGGGAGGTGGGGTTCGGTTGCCACCAAACAAACGATTGGGTGAATACACCCACCACTCATGTGGATCAGCTTCCACGGCGGTTTCACTTCGGCAAGCCCCAGAGCACAGCCTCAATCATTACTCTTCAGGATTGTCCTCGAGATTGGGTCCTGGCCATTCTACTGAAAGTTGAACCCTGGAATACGAAAAACGAAGCCCCGATGAAGATGGTCGCGAAGAAGACCATTTGTGTCATGGTCGAAAGACCGGTTTCTTCACTTAGGAATGGTCATCAGCACCTGACGAATCCTGCGGGTTTCAAATCAGGAAGCCACAACACCCATGGGATGTTTTGACCTTGGCCCATCTCGAGACAGATCGGTTCCACCTGAGGCTCATGGCGGACTTTGGCGAGGTGGCCACTGCCGGGGCGGCAGTGAAGGAGGCAACGTTCCAGGGGGGAGAGCGGGGGGGATCAAAATGGTGGCTCAACAACATAGACTAAAACCAGCGTAACCCTAGTTCTTCAATTTTGAGCCGCACCTCAATGGGAAAGACTTGTCCTATGAAGTCCACGATATCCAGGAAAGTCTGATATTCAATTGGGCACGTTTCCACCATAGATCTTGGCCCCTGCTCCCCGAGCAAAGGACGCAGGTTCTGAGATTGCATCATGTAAGACAAGGGCTTGGTGCAGTGGTGTTTACCTGTGTCCTTGCCGTGCTCCCCTTTCGAAAGGGATGATTTAGATTTCCAAGATGCCGAACTTGGGAGCATTTCGGCGTCCGACGGCCGAATGCCACCCTTGACCGCACCGATCGATTCTCCGTGACTGCTTGGCCTGTCGCTAAGCCAGAGATCCCTCCAACTTTGCAGTCAAACGGTATTTTTCTAGGGGCTTGTGTGGCTTGCATTTAAATGGCGGTATCTCTTACAGTCAGGACTAAAACGGGAGACCCTGGTTGTCTTGACTATCGAACATAGATCCCATTTCCAGGGTTGGTTGTTTCAAGAAGCCCACCGTTTTTTGGTTTTGTTTTGGGCAACCAAAAGCTTTTGGGATACAAGGAGTGTGAAGCCAAATGTTTTTTTTGGGGATATGATAAAAGCTTTTGGGATAAAGCGAATCCAACAGGAAAACCCAGCTGTTTCAAAGAGGTTCTCCCCCTTCGCGCCGGAAGTGTCTCGCGTTTCGAGCCGACCTCGAGGACTGCGACTTCGGCACCGACTGGGCCACGCTGCTGAACATCACTGGGGACGTGCCCGGCTGGCAGGCCGAGCAACCCAAACGACCGGGTTCCTCACAGGAATTACCGTTTTGGGGTTTGTTTAAAGGGAAACCCAAGGAAAACCAGAGGTATCCCCCCCCAACCAAGTGGCAAACTCATATATTTGTCTCTGGTATTATGTTTTTACCACAGCTGTTAATTACCAATTTGAAGCATTTTGCTTGTGATGGGATAGTGCTTCTACGTTGGGGAGCCCTGATCAAGTCGTGCCGTGGTCCGTGCACAGTCGCGTCGCGTTGCAAACGAGCAAGCAATGCACAGGGCTCCTTTTCCAAGCCATGCGCCATATCCTGATGAACAGTTAGTTAGCCAAAGAAGTGCCAGGCTGACAGCTTGAATGGATCAGGATGTCGCCCTTCAGGCGATGTGAGTAGCCAGTCCAGCAACATAGACTCTCCGTGCAAGGAGGAAATGACATCACGGGATTGCTTGCGCAGGGCAATCACTTGTTTTTCCGTATTCGATTTCGGAACCTTGTTCCAAAATGCTGTCTCCAAACGCTGGACCTGACAAATGGACGGTTTCTTGTTGAATTTCCATTGAACTCCCAGTTTCAATTCCAACTTTTGGTTGTCTCCAGTAAAAGCACGTACCCCCGGAACCACTTTTCCATGGACCCCCAGAAAGGGTTAACCAAGAAAGGGTCGACCCACGTGAGGCCCACCCAAAGCCGTGAGGCCTTCGAGCCCGCCGGCGCCAGTCCCGTGGAGCAGGCCATCCGGAAGGTCACCGCGATCCACGAGGCGAGAAATGCGACGGGGGGACGGGGGGACTTTGGTCGTGCGGTCGGCAGGGACGTTTTGGACCCAGCGTCCTTTCGTTTTAGTTGGTTTGTATGGTTGGTTTGGTTTGTATGGTTGGTTTGGTTGGTTTGCCCAGATTCCTTTTGGTTCGTGTTTTTTCTCCTTCCTCCAGCCTTGGCTCGTTTCGCTTGAAAGATTCGCGTAGACTTTCACTCAGCTTCTTGTCATGGGATTCTGTGCCGAGCGTTTGCGAATGATGCACATCTTTCCTGACCATCCGAACAGTAGAGCCCAAGCTGATCAGATCAATTCGCAACCTCAAGGCACAAAAGCCTTGCACGCCCGGAAATGGTGCTCCTTCCTGTGGCCCTTATTGTCTGGAAGTTCTGGCGAAAGCAGAGGAATGCAACTTGCTGATAGGCAGCTGAACAGGCCTCCCACCCTCCCTGCCCTTGTAAAAAGGGTGAATTTTCCCGGGGTTCGGATGTGCCGACAGCTAAAGTGACTCACTGCTTGTTAGAAAATTTTCTTGAAAGGTACAGGCCGGGTGCCAACTCCCAACCCCAGCCATGCATTGGGCGGCCGGACTCGACTCCACGTTTTGTCAGTCTGGGCATTTCCTCAAAGGGACCTGCAAGCCGCCATTTGATTGGATTCAGCGGGTTTTGAGCAGCTGGCCAGTCGGCCAGTGGGAAGTGCAGACTGCTCGAAGCGGTCATGGACGCAACCCGTACGTTGGGAAGCCGGGAAGGGAGAAGGGCATTTCACACTGGGGTTCGACGATGCGAGTAAGCTGCCACAATTTCCAGAGAGCAAGAGAAGATAAGGGACCACCTCGTAGCATTTTATTTGCGTGTCTTCGCCCCCGGGAACCAGAGCAATACTGATTGTCTTGAGGCGGGGCCCCGCATTCAACTTGATCCCGGTGTTTCCGATGCATTTGGGGCCCCTTTTTGATGGCTGTTCGCTTTGGCGTAGTCTTTGAGAGTGAACTCCGGCGACAAATGTCAGCAGTGATATAATACTGTAAGGTCTTCCATTTCAAGGTCTTCTATCCGTTGAGTTCTGAAAGTCACATGGAAGGCAATCAACCACTTTTGGGGGCCGTGTTCATGAGGGAATCGCCAAGTTAGACGAGGCCCAGAGGAATCGGAACTTCGACATCGCCCAGTGCGTCTTTGACGTGACCAACTCCGCGGCTCGTCTTGCGCTGGGTTTGGGCAATTTGTGTTCCAAGACCCCGTCTTCGAAAGGAAGGGCAACACCTTGGTGGGAATGTGGTTGAATGAGTTCCTGTGGGAATGAACCCAGAAAGGAAGCCACCAGTTGGAGGTCATAAGGTTCCAATTCTCATTCCCTGCCTATCGCAGCAGAAAGAGGAAGTTGCTCGGAGCAACAGCCATTGCTGAAGCATGCTTAAATTGGTTGGAGTGCAGCTTGGTTTCGCAAAAGGGAGCCCACGAGTGTGCCGTATGTTTTGCCCCACATCGCTCAACTTTGGTTCGAACCAGCCAGTGTTGCAGAATATCATTTCCCCTCGCTGCAATCTCATAAATTTTGTCATACCATGCGATCACATTGTTTCTCTGGTGCGATCTGAGCGCGTCTGAGCACGTTGCTGTAAAACCCCTTCCCTTGAGCAGGGGGGGGGGGATGGGGTTGGGGTGGCTCCAAATTCTGTTTTGTTGTCGTCCTCCCCGCCAGAGGGAACTCCCAGGCCTCCTACATCGTGCGCGTCATCCTGCAGATCCGCAGTGCTGCGAGCTCCTGCCCCGAGCCGAGGCGCCGGGGGGGGGGGTTGGAAGGGGAGCCCATCTCAGGAAGCGCTGGCCTTTGGTCCTTGGGAATTCTCATCAACATCCCACATTTCGCCAACCCGCGGAGCAAGAATTCGACTCTGCTCACAGGGAACGCTCCTCCACTTTCCACAGAACAGCTCTTTCTTGATCAAGGCGCTAGGAGGTTTGGCCCAAATCTACTTGATGAAGCACTTTGCTTTACTGGCCAGCCCATAATGTTGCTGGGTGATATGTAGGGGGTTGGTTTCACCTGGTTGTCACGGGTGAATGGGCAGTATTGGATGGACCTGCCCCCTTTCCTGCCTTACGGGTGTGGTGTGTGAGGGATCATGCCAGGAAGAGCCTGTGCGGAGGTGTAGCATCTCAAGGATGTCACGCCGTCTTGCGCTTATGCCGGCCAGCCATGGAATTTGATTTCATGGCTGGTGCTGGTGGCGGGCCTGTCTAGAGTGTTGCAAGGCCCTTCCCCGCACTGCACGAAAGATGGGGGAGGTTGAACTCCAACCGGAGTCGCTTGAGGGACGGCCGCAATGGCAGGGGCCGTGCTGTAAGGCCGCGCACCCCGGGTCGTTCCATCCATCAAGCAACTCCCCATCACGAGGTTGATTTCTCCGGGGTGGAAGGATCCTTGGATTTTCGAGGTGCCAAGTCGCTCTCAAACAGGTGGACCAGAATCAAACATATTGTTTGGTTGAGGGATACTGGGGAACTGGCGCCTCTCGTGAACCCAGACAACTTCCGACACCTGACGAGCTGATTGCTGCTGCTGATGATAGAACTTGCAAGGTTCGACAACCGCACTGTCGCAAGTGGCGTGGGGTCAAAATCAATGGTACCTTTTGGGGTAGGTGAACCACCCATGTGAGTCTATTTTAGTGGTTGGATTGGGATGTTCACTGGGGCTACGATTTGGGTTTTGAACCATGGCCAAATGAAGCAACACCGGTTTCCTGGAATTTGTGTGGCAGCCACTGAGCAAAACAAGGCGGAAGTCTGACTGTCTTATCCACATACCTTGTGACAAAAACAAATCTTTGCTCATTTGGTGGAGATGGTGGCTCACATATATATATATATATATATATACATATTTGTATATATCTGTATACACACATATTTCACAGGTTTGGCTTGGCAAAAAACAACAGAAACTAAGTTGAAACTTTGATTCTCTGAGGACGCAAGCCGTTCATTTGCGAAAAGAGTGGAAGTGCATCCCTTGTTCATACCCTTTGGCTTCCCTGTTTACGAGCCCAAGGAAATAAGGGGCATACTTCTGGCACTGTTTTGCTTTGGGTTGGTGGCACGCTCATCAACCTTGTGCCATGACCATGACCCAAGGATCACCCGCCTGACCCTTTGACCGAATGTATGACAGAGCAGGGACCCTACCAACCAAAAGACCCCCCTCAATTTAGTTGGCCTTTTTGGCTTTGTGGCCTTGAGGATGTTCAATCCTTTGTCTTTCGGGGAGGTCCTAAGGGGCCCGTTTGGTGTCTTTCCCAAGGCATCCACACCTACCGATTTTTGCGAACCATACATTGCTGTTGTCCCTACCACTCCTGCCAGGAATTGCGCCATCAACATCATGAATATTATTTCCTCCTTCGCGTGGATTTCCCAATTCACGCACCGTGGTGGCAAAGAACCTCGAACGTGTCCCGCTGTGTCAGAAGACCTTGCGCTTTTGGCAGCGGTAGTTGGACAGTAGCTTTCCCAGTTTCGCTGCCTGTTTAGATTTGGGTGTTTCTCAAAACAGTGGTCCCCACCACAAATGGGTCCACCATTTGGAGAAACTCTCATTGGTTACAGAGCAAGCTGAAGGCTTTTGGCATGGTGAGCGAGAGAAGACACCTCTCTTTTCCAGGTGTGACTGCAGGCAGATTTTCCGGACTCGCTTTCAAACGGCGAGTTGAGGCAAAGCTTGCTGCCGTTTGGCCACGCTGCGTTGGCCAAACTTGAGCAACCAGTGAGGGATTCAGCAAGGCATCCCCATGGCAAGCGCTGGAGACTAGCCAGCCGCTGGACTTACGAGGTAGCCTCTGTTTCGCGCTAGAGAAATGCGGCAAGTTTGCTACAAACTCCAGCCCGCGGACGCATTTTCCATCAAGCGATGGGCATGTCTCAAACGAACGAGGTTGATGACTCATCCGCTGAATTTTGTCAACAACTGGGGATACGTCAAGAACATACATCAGAATATCACTCTTGAATTCACGCGAGAACTGGGTGCTGGCCTCGCCATGTCGCTTCCCAAGCGGATCAATGCCAAGGTGATTGTTGCTGGCCCTGCTGCAACAGGCAAGACATGCCTGATCGAGCGCTTTGTCAACAACGTTTTCGCAGCTGATGATGCTACTCACGGACCAACGCTGGGCTGTGATTGCTTACAGAAAACAGTGTTCATCGATGATACGGAGGTCCAGCTCTTCCTGTACGACACGGCGGGGCAGGAGCGCTTTGCCGACATGGCAGCCAGCTACTACCGGGTGGGCGAGGTTTGCCTGCTCTGCTTTGACATGTCCGATGTGTCCACCTTTGACCGGACGCAGTTCTGGATGAAGAAGGTCGCCGACCACAATCCCAAGTGCCTTTTCATCCTCGTGGGCACCAAGGAGGATCTGCTTGAGGAGCAGAGCTCCTTAGAACCGATTTCTCGGTGGGCAGAGCAGGCAGGGATCCCCTTCTTTCCCACCAGCGCCTTAAAGGGCGGGGAGCACATCCGGTTTCTTTTCCACACCGTGGCGGAGAAATGCATCCGCCTGAAGCGGGAGAAGCAGCTCTCGGACAGCGCCGGCATGAAGTTGCAGAGTTCCATCGGCCAGCCCAAACGAAGCTGCTGCACCTGACACCAGTGGTGACCTTCCCTGGGCAGAAACAGAAACCTGCAGACTGATTTTCCCCGCGGGTTTCATCTCCCAAAGCGGGGAAGAGTTGTTGCCCTCTGTCGGAAAAAAAACCAACTGCAGCCTCCTAGTTTCTCGTTGAGGTTGTGTACTCATTGCATAGCCTTTTGGGCCCGAGACCAAACATAGGAGGGGCCAAGGTTTTCTGCGGCAAGTCTTTGCTGTTGAATTGCGGGCCTGGGCAACTTTGCGTGTCAAAAACCACCATGGCCATGTCACGAGCGTGCGAATGTAGGCAGCGAGCGCTTGTTTCTGACTTCTTTTGATTCCCCCAACCTTTTGAGCTTGGAGCTAAGTTTTGCAGAGCCTGTCTATACGCATAGCAAACAAAAACTGGATTCATCCCAGTGCCCTCGTCAAGCCATCGTCAAGCTCCGCTTCGACGTGCTCGTTGTGGTGCCATCTACATATCTGTTAAAATCCGCGAATTGGATGTACACCCCAAGCGACCAGATCTGTTTTGACTGCAGCGATTCCGAACAATCCTTGTTCTACGACACATGCGCAAGGCTCTAGAGGAATCCTTCTGAGGAGAGCAAAAATCCACCAGCTTTGCCCCGTCTGAGGGCGTTGGCGGTGTCTGACTGCCAAGAGACGGGCAGCCAAACCGCCCTGTGCACGGCAGACATCTCAGTGCCTCGGACCTCAGAAGTCGCATTTTGGTAGCCAAATCCGGACCTTGTGTGTGTGTTTTTTTTTTCCCCGGGGGGGGAGGGATGGCATGGGATGGGGGCTTGCCGCTCAACTTCCCAATCCATGGCTCTCCTCTTTACAACAGCCAGCAAAATTTGAGCATGCAGAGCACCCCTCAAACTTCTTCCTTGTCTCACAACAAATCAACGGGAGCCAAGCAGCACGCTTGGGGTCTGATTCGAAGGACCTGGTGGCCGCGCTGACGAATGGCCCGGCGGCTGGAGTGGCCACCACGTCCGCCGCTCGCTCTTCTGGGATTGGAGGGGACGTGGGGCGGGCAGGCCAGGTGGGCGTGTCTTTTTTTGTTTTTTGGGGGGGGAACCTTTTTTTGGGTTTAAGGGGAAGCCCTTTTTAAAGGACAGCACACATTTTTCGGGGGCTTGTGGCTTGGCAGGAGAAAGATGCTTCGGGGATGCTTTTGAGGCAAGACCAGAAACCAACCAAACGACCAAACAGCCAGCCAGCCAACCAAGGAAGCAGCCAACCAATCAACCAACCATCCAAAGCAAGAAAGCCAGCCAGCCAGCCAGCCAGCCAGCCAGCCAGCAAGCCAGCAAGCCAGCAAGCCAGCAATCCAAGAAGGGAAGGAAGGAAGGAAGGAAGGAAGGAAGGAAGGAGGGAGGGAGGGAGGGAAGGAAGGAAGGAAGGAAGGAAGGAAGGAAGGAAGGAAGTAAGGAAGTAAGGAAGGAAGGAGGGACGGACGGAAGGAAGGAAGTAAGGAAGGAAGGAAGGAAGGAAGGAAGTAAGGAAGCAAGGAAGGAAGGAAGGAAGGAAGGAAGGAAGGAAGGAAGGAAGGAAGGAACCAAGCAACCAAGCAACAAAGCAAGCAAGCAACCAAGCAACCAAGCAACCAAGCAACCAAGCAAAGAAACACACACACACACAACAAGACAATGTCCCATATACGATGGGAGATACGTTTATCCAGATACCAGTTTGCCAGTTTCAGCACTTCAATGTCATTTTCCACGGCCTCGCCGGAGTGGCAGCGTTGCCGAGGACTGCGCGGACTTGCCGATCCCTGCGCAGGAGGTGAAGCGCATAGGGGCAGAGTGAGGAGCGGGCGAGCCGGGGGGGGGGAAGGGGGGGGAAGGGGGGAAGTAAGTCAACTATGGGGTTTTCTCGAACTGGTGGACACCTTGTTGGATGGTGTGAAAGTGAAACCATTTCAACGGGCCATTTTTAGGGGTTGAGAAACCCTCAAATGTGGCACAGGCGAACTTGATGTACTCTGAGGGCACACCAAGGGGTCTTTGCAGTGGATTTGATTAGGACTGATTGGGGCAACGGCATTCACTGAGCCCTGACAACTTGACCAGGCTTGTGGTACACTTCGCAGGCAGGCTGCGCTTTCATTGGCTGATGAAATGTTTTTCTTCTTCCTACGGAAGAGACTCCGAAAGCACACATCCGTGTCAGGACTGGCCAGGTCTCTCAGAAGATCTTTTGCGAGGACAGCCGGCGAGAGCTTGGGTTCCTCGAAAATGCAGCGAAGGGACCACTGGACAAACAAGTTGGACTGTCTCAAGTGCCGAACCTCTTGGTTTCTTGTGGTTGCCTCCGGAAAGGGAAGAGACAGCACTTCCACTGCTCAGTGCCAGAGCTGCACCCCCAGGAAAGATGGGCGATGGCTCGACGCCTGGCGCGGAAATTGTTTTGAATCGACGTGGCCCTCGCGGCGTGGTCACAAAGAGGGCCCGCCCAGGGCGCTTAGGCATGTGTCTCATTGGGAACCTCTCATGGCGTGCAGAAATCAATGGGATGGTAGACGCCCGGTGAGGGGACGGCTCCCTTTTGAGGCATCCCGTCTCACATAGCAAAACCTGGAAACCTCCCTGGAGGTGAATCAGAGGATGCATTGCCCCCATCCAAAATTCAGGTCTGTTAAGCCAGCCCAGAGACGGTATCCTGTTGAATGCTGTGGGGGGGTGGCAAATTCCTCTCGCGAGCCCTTGAAGCGGTTCGCTGCGGAAACGCCGAGACTCCGCTGGTTCGCTCCGCTGGCTAAAATGGCCATACGGGACAAAGTGCGGAGGGCAAAAAGGAGAGGCCGCGTTGAAGTCGCAATTTTTCAACAGGTGCTGCTTTTGCTAACTCACAACTGGCGTGCCCGTTGCAAAATCAACCAAATCCTTTGCAATGCTTTTGGGTGGGTTGCAGTTTCCAAACCACGCTGCGAATGCCAACCAGTTTTTGTCAAGTTTTGTCATATCCTCTACACACATGTCGCGTGCTGCGCGCAAGACAACTGCCCTCCTGCCAGTGTCTAAACTTCAAAGGGTGTGTCAAGGAAACCACAACAAGTGTGCCCACATGAGTTCCTTCAGAGTCAATATCTTCAAAGGGCTCCGATGGGCTTCAGAAATGACCAGGTATTTGCCTCGGGATCCAAGCAAGGCCTCAAAGCCCGCCTCCCCCCCCGGTGATCAACAACCCCAAAACGGGAGTGATGTGAATAGGTCCATTCGGTTCAGCTGAAGGTCCTTCCGTTTTGAAGGCACCTTATGCATGAACATGGGTGTCCTTTCTAGATGCCTCTTGTTTCAATTTGGTTCCAATGGCAAACCAGTATGTACGCCTACAATTCCACCCCCTGCCCATTTTGAAATCGGGGAGCTCACCGATTTGGGGGTGCGAGCCCACCATGATTTGGGGGTGGGTTCTCTACCTGGGGATCCGATTCATATTTTGTGGGGTTCCGCACAGAAATTGGAGCTAGATGCATGGGACTGCGGCCCCTTCCAGCTTGGTGCCGCTGCGAAAGAAGCGCCGCTTCGGCGGCGCCGGCGGCCCCTTTCCATGGCTTAGGCGCGGTTGCCCGAAGGTGACATTCACGTGGCGCTGGATCTCAACAGCTGGGAAATCCCCTGGATGGCGGGTTTGGGGGTCTGCCCTTTTTTCGAATGGGAGTCCCCAATTTGGATCTAAAGGGAGGCTAGGGCACGCCGGCGCAATGCCTTGGGCTATGAGGAGAGGTAGCGTCTCCTCGAATCAGATATTGGCTCCCTGTCGATAGCCCCAGCCAACCAGGATCTGTTTTTGCTGAGACGTGGCCATGGGTCAAACCCCCGTACCCCCAGTGAACATCCCAATCCCAACTAAAATAGACTAAAATGGGTGGTGCGCCTATCCCAAAATGGTACCATTGTTTTTGAACCATGGCCACGTCACTGGATCCTCATGTGCCAAGGTTCACCATCCCATGCATTTTGTTCCCCAACCACCGGCTTTGATTTGCCAATGGAGCATTGCCCAGGGTATGCTGACGTGGGCTGCCTGGGGGTGCTCGCCTCGGTTGAGAGACGCCTGAGGTGAAGGGCTTGAAGTTGGCAATGGAACTGATTGCTTTGCATCCCTTGCATCTTCCTCATTTTTTCTTTACTGTTTCGTGCGTCTGCCTCCCTCCCCCTTGCACCATCTTCTGCATCCCTGGCATCTTTTGCATCTTCTGCATCACTTGCATCTTGTGCATCTTCTGCATCACATGATCCCTTGTATCTTGGCTTTTTGCATCTTTGTTTTATTGTTGTGTCCCTATCATCTGCATTCCCTGCATTTGTTTTGCAAATTCAGCATCGTCCTTGCTCCTTTGCCCTTTGCATTGCTTGCATCCCTTGCATCCCTTGCATCCCTTGCATCCCTTGCATCCCTTGCATCGCTTGCATCCCTTGCACCCCTTGCATCGCTTGCATTCCCTGCATCCCCATCCCTTAGATTTGCTAGTTTGCAGCCTGACTCCTCACATTGATGTTCATGCTTTGGGCTTGGTCCCCCTGTGTTGACTCAAGATACAATGTATCTCTGTCTGTTCCTTGCTTGCTGCATGTTAAACATCCTAATTACACTGTCAACTTTGCAAGGCATCTCCTTCATTCTGCGCATGACCCAGCCCCATCCTTTCTTGTGTGTGTGTGTGTGTTTGTTTGTTCGCAACCCTCTTTCAGCGTGTGGGCATTTTGGGGTGCCCTTTCCACATTTCCTGCCCACATCACTGCATCGCCTGCATTGCCTGCATTCCCGTATGCAATGCATGCCTAAATCCGCTGTCATTCCCTGCCTTCAATCATCATTTGCCAGTCCTGCATTCCCTTTCACTCTCTCCCTTTGAATCACCGGAATCCTCCCAAATCCTTTGCACTTCGGGCTATGCTTGAACAGGGCCCAACCTGTGTGGGAAATTATGGGGCTAGACACACAGCACATCTTGTGAGGCTGGAAGTAGGTTGACGGAAGTCGCAAACTTTTTCACATCGTACCAACGCAGGCCAGACATCTTGGAGTTGATGCAGCCCAGTCTGGCCAACGAAGCGAACACGGCACCCTCCAAGGCTGCTACTCCTCGGCGTTTGTGCCGTGCCGGCAGATCCCCCAGGGACCGAAGGGGGGGGGATGGGGGCTGGAGGACTCGGGGCTGCTTTCTGGTCAGAGCTGCTTGCTTTTTGGGTTCTCTTTAGCGTCTTCTTTCAATCATCTTGGAGAGGCAAGTGAGCACCATGCCAGAGTTGGCCTCTGGTCGACGCACACCCTGGCCACAGAGCGGTCCTCGGAAAAGCCACAATGCTGGCAAGCCCCCACTGGCTAGTGTCTCCAACACCGATATTCGGTTGTTTCATTCCCCAGTCTTTTGGACCGCTTCGAATCACAACACGGGACCTCGTCCTGGCTGCCGTTTGCTTACCCGCTGGGTTGCATGGGATTACAGAAGCGGGATCAGAGTACTGCAGGAGTTGAGTGGAAAGCAAAACCAAGGCGATTTTCAGATCTCACCTCGTCAACAAAGCAAAATCCGCCCCGGGAGGCCTCGCCCGATCGTTTTCACAACAGGAGCATCGCCATCTCGGTGCCTGGGGAGGAGGGCTTCGTCCTCGCCTGGGTGCCTGGGGCGGCCAATGACTGCAGCTTCCAGGCCTGTGGGCGCGAGGGAGAATGCCAAGAGTCTAGGGGAAGCTTCTTTCCAGGGATCCTTCTGTCAGAAAACTACCAAAAAGCCTGGGGAATGGCTGGCTTTTGAAAGGAACGACGGCTGGAAAGAATGGAATCGGAATCCACCCCTAGAAAGAGGGCCAGGGAGATTCCAGAAGTTCACCAACCTCTGGTTGATTTTGAGGAAATGGGGGGGTGGTCCAACAAGTTTAGGGGCCCGGATCGCTTTTGGGGGAAGCACCCCCTTGTTGATAGCTTGGTGAAGCAAGGGCCTGGTAGGGGATTTCTATTCCTAGCGGAGGAGCCTCTTCATGCTGGCGTGGAAGGAATCGGAAGTGGCTCGTTGTGCATGACTCTATATGGATCCACTTTCGCCAAGTTGTACTTTCGCAATACTCTGATACGGCTTTTGGCTGGTATTGCACCGCATCCCCTTCTTTGGGACACGCCCGTGTTATACAAAGTGATGGCAAGCTTGCGTGCGGTGGTTTCGCATACGCTTCCAGCCTCATATGGGTCAGGTAAACGAGATGCATCCAGGCGTTTGCACTGGGAGAAGCACATTGGTTTTCATCATGAGCGCGCAACGTGCGTGTTTCCTACCCCATGCCTCGGAAATCTCAACGGCAAGCCTGTTCGCCCAGAAGCCAAATATTGTGCCGGGCTTGTTTTCTTGCAGCTAATTTTGTTTGTTTGCTTGCCTGCTCTGCCCATTTGTCTGTTTGTTTGTTTGTTTGTTTGTTTGTTTGTTTTTTTGCAGCAACTAGGCCACATGCGGGAGGTGTTGGACTCAATTAATTCAAGTCAGATGGTGAGAGACCGAATCATCGCCAGGATCGGTCCACGTGGTTTGCGCCCTATAGACGTTTTATCCACGAGCCATGAGCAGCACGGCGACATACGCAACAGGAATCCACCGAGAAAAGTCAACCTGCCCGGCTAGCGGCCTGTCTGGTGCGTGCCTTTTTGCTTCCCTTCGAAAGGCGCTCAGGAACAAGACAGCCAACCAAAACCAGCACAGCTTTGCTCTCCGAGGGAAAAAGAAAACGCATCCCCGCAAAAAAGAGGGCATGCCAACCCTCAGCCATCCTCCACTCGGAGGAGTGGCTGGTGCAGCTGCGCAGCCGGAACCTCAACGGCACGCTGGTGGGCTCCTGGCGGACGGCGTCCTGCGAGGAGGCACCGCGGGGAGTGGGTGGGGGAGGTCAGGGGAGAGGGGGACCCCCCTACCCCCAAAACTGGGAACCGAAGGATTCTTGTAAGATTGTTGTGCGGGGCGGCCTGTCTGTGTGCGTGCGTGTGTGTGTGTGTGGGTGGCTGGGCGGGGCCTTTTAGTGTCAAGCTTGGATATATGCATCCCTGGTTGTTTGGGAGTCTCGCAGAGTCATCCGCCAGGCTTATCTGTCAACATGAAAACAACGATGAACATTTTTTGGTTAATGTTCAAGAATAAATTTTCAAAGGAACAACCCAGGTTCAAAGCCCCCATTCAGAAGAAAAGCATAATAAACAAAAACACTCACGTGGGGGTCTCCAAGCATGAGAACCCACCCATTTTGTGGGTTCCGTTGCGGCTCCTCTTCCCCCGTTTCGGGTTATCCTCAAAGGCAACATGGCGAAGAACGCGTTTGGCGCGACCATGCCATGGCCCGACGCGCAAGGTCCCGCCTCGAAACAGCCCAGAGTGCAATGCCCGGATCCTGAGCTGAGCGTCAGATGGGGTAGGTGGGAAGTCGGGGTTGCATGGCGTTTTGTGGTGGTTGGGGGTGCGACAGTTGTAAAGCTCAAGAAAGGTACCTTGAGCAAATACCGCTGCCTATTGTTTTGACAACGCGTGGGCAGAAGATCTCTACAAGGATGTGTCTTTTTTTGATGCCCCCTTTTTGGTGGTTTTTAGAGGGACACCTAAAGGAAATCCACCATTTTGGGGGTACCCCAAAAGCATGACACACCACAAATAGGTTTAGCGACAAAGTCTTAACACAGACGACTTCATGCCCAAGTTCGACACGCACAAGGGGGCATGTATCCTGACACAGAATGACACGCTGTCGTCATGCACGATGATCAGATGTTGTATCCCCATTTTGCGAAGGGCGGTGGCAAGCCTACCATCAAGAAGACTGTGAAGGCTGATGCTTTGGTCAAGACCTTGATTCCTCAAGTTCAGGACATCATGGAGAAGTTCCAAGCAACTGCCAGACAAATTCTGACAAGGTTGAAGGATTGCTCTCAAAGATGCTTCTTGACGGTCATATTTTGGCTTGATTTGAACCCCAAACCGGGCCATTAATTTTGGGCCGTTTGATTGATGCCTCAACATGGCGTGACTTGGATTGGAGCATGTTGCCCATTAGAAATGCTTTTTGGCGTTGTTGCATGAGCGGATATCACTTGAGCCCGTGTTGCATGCTGCCAGTGAGTGCTGCTTGATAAAGAGTCGCGATGACCCTCCATCTGTTGAAGCCACCGAGGGACCAGATACTGTTGGCTTGCGCTAGAAACACATCAGCAGGCTCAAGCAAAGTCTCTTGTGAAGTTCTACACGCCACTCTTCGGCGTCATTCTTAGCATCTGACCAAGTATAACCGGTTTACACTTGAGAGGCGGTGAGAGCAATCCGCTTGAAACACCCAGCAACCCCAAACTGCTTAAAGCGAAACAACTCTCCCTCAAGATCCTTCCACAAAGGCGGCTAGTCACATTTGAACCAAATTGGTTTTGACACTCGGCGAGTTAGCGGCCCAAGCAAGCCACAAACACACACAGCCATATCGGAACCCGAGTTGCTTGAGGGGGAGCAAATCCCACAGCCTTCTTGTTGGAGCTTCCCTTTGTTTTAGTCAAAGGAAAGTCACCTCCACCAGCAAGAATTTCTCTTTTGGACGGTCCCAAGGGCATACCAGCAGAAACCCGACACCATGACTCTTTAATTGCAAACCCGAATTCATGAACCCTTGGTGCATGCCATTTCAACGAGCACCCCGCGCTTTCGGGCAATGCCACTTGATGTGTTGAATCCAGGGTTCCGCTGAAACGGGCTCAGCAGATTCCTCTTTCCCTTTGAGCCCCGAAACTAGGTGACGTGGCCATTGTTATCTCACTCCCCCAGAATGATTGCGCTGCAAATTGGAATGCAAACTGAAAGAGTAGCGCAGGCGATGTTCCGGCTGATATGAAAGTAGATGGGCTCAGGTCTTACTCAATTCCCTCTCCGAAGGCTTTCCTCCCGTCCGAACGGTTCAACTGGCTCAGTTTCTTGCTGGTAAGTATGCCGGTGTACCTGACCAGACCTTGGTTTGATTGTAGCCGCAACCAGCTTTTACTCGCTTTGGCAGTTTCCAAGCTTGAGGTGAGCTCGATTGACTTTCAGGGTGCTTTGCCTTCGGAACGCGGAGCCATTCGCATGTCTGGCTCCAGGCGGGCTTTGGTCGCTCGATTCGACTCACTTACCGCTGTCACTGGCCTGTCAGAGTGCGGGCGAGGCTTAGTCGGAGGAGCCAACACCCCGCCGAAGTCGAACAAACTGAGCGGCCACCGATGTCGTTTGATAAGTTTCCAGCCCCGAAGAGCTAAATAGTTCCATTTCTACAGGTTGGTTTGACCCCGAGCGAAGTTGAATTTTTGTTCGGACGAGTCAACACACGGGGCCCGTGGGTTCCTGAGCTTCCATCGCTGCCATGGGCGTGGCTGAGCGGCTCCTCTCTCACTGGCCGTTGCCTGGATGAAAATCGCGGCAGATTCACACGGAGCCCACAAGGTGGTGCCTCAAAAGGAGACTCTCCATAATGTAATAATGATGGGTTTTGGCTCCATGTTAATCTACTGGCTAGAAGTTAGAGGAGGTGGAAAGCCAGCTGTGTTCCACTATTTGCCATTGTTGTGCTTGCAACCAAACAGGCGCGCAACACAGAGAGCAGAGATGCCATGTTGTTTTTTTGTTGATCTTATTATTCCTTAATTCTTTGTTGATCTTATTCTTCCTTCCTTCCTTCCTTCCTTCCTTTCTTTCATTCTTTCTTCCTTTCTTTCATTCTTTCTTTCTTTCTTTCTTTCTTTCTTTCTTTCTTTCCGGTACCAGCTTTCCTAGAGACCCAACTCGCTTCCATTGGCCCTATGAGCTTTTTTGAGCTCATTTGGCGAGTCCACATGGATCCAGTTCAGCGATGCACGGACTGCGCTTTTGCTCAGGCTCCTGGGTACGCACTTCTTCACGGCCGAGGGTGAAGGTGGCGCAGGTGGGCAGTTTGAGTCATCCGTCCGCGACGCTTCGTTTTGACAAAAACCGGGCGCACCTGAGTCGGTTTGGACGCGGGTACCTTCAGGTCCCCGTTTGAAATCCGGGGCTTACAGTGGTGGTGCCTTTCATGCCCTTTTTCATTTTCCGGATGGCCCAGGTATGTTGGTGATGAGTCATTTTGTCATGGGCCAGTTTCGGGGAATATGCGGTCAAGCTTCATCCATAGGATCTCTCAAGTCCCTTTTTGCGTGGCTTGAACGGCGCTCCTCAACGACCCTTAGCCAGCATCCACAGCATCCTCTGAATCCTCAGCATCATCAGTTGCCCCAGTATTTGCAGCATCCCCAGCATGAACAGCATCGCTAGCATCTCCAGCACAGGCATCACCCCACATAATCCACTCGGTAAATTCGGATCTCGGCCTTTTGCCAGCAGCCCGGACTTGCGGTGCTCTCATTCCCATTTACTTTGCTTGAGGTTTGGGAGTGTCAGGCGCATGCTCCTTCCCGAAGTCACAGAGACAGAGGCTGCAACGGAACGCGCCTCCTTGTGGCTGCCTTTGAATTCATCCAAAATGGGGTAGGACGGCTGGTTCTGACAGATTCCCTGCTTTCCTTCAGGCTCTTTTTCTCGGGTCACCTCTCATTCCAACGTGTGGAATGATAGAACCCGCACCTTTGATTCGAGCGATGCCAGGTGCCGACGCTGCTGATGCTGGCACAGGCACAGGGTTTTGGAGCGTTGTAGACGCAACTCCATGAAGGGGTACTGTTCCAAAAAAGGAGACGACACCAAATGGTACTGACGTGCAAATCGTTCGTCATATGCGGGTATAGGGGCGATAGACGAATCAAACCATCCAGTAGCTGGTTCCCTCCGAGGTTTCCCTCAATGCTTATGTCGTAAGTAGCTTAAATCACTTACAGGAGAGCTAATTCCACTTGAAGGAAGTAGGCTATTGCCCGGGACTGACCTAATCACTGAACAGGCTAGTCACCCGAGTACTGACTGAGTGGAATGAACCCCTCAAGTGGATCCTTGATAGAACCAGCTGCGATTCTTTCTGCGATGTGTGCGTTCATGCTCAGGATATATTCTGTTTTTTTTGGGGGGTGAGCTTTGCTTGTCAGGATCCGTTTCATGCACTCTGGTTCAACTGTGTTCAACTGTGCTGTGCAGGCCTGTTTCATCCAGTCCGGCTCTGCGTCCTTTGCCTCCTCTACATCTCTTCAGCTGCCTTGTGCATCCCACCCTTGTTCTGATTTCCGCCCATTCTGTGCACCTTTGTGTTACCGCGTTCCTTCTTCCTTGGCTGATGTGACCTGCGGTGTCTTTTTGCTTCTGGTGAATCCTGAAGCTGAAACATGTTTGGAACTCCTGCAACTTCTGCACTTCCGCATTTCTGCATCCCATCCAGTGCATCCGGCATTCCTTGTGCAACTCCTGCCTGCCCTTGCGCTGAATCTACCCATTCTGCGCATCATTTGCATCCTGTGCATTGTTTGCATCATTTGCATCATTTGCATCATTTGCATCATTTGCGCCTCTGCAGTACCTGCATCCTCTGCATCCTCTGCATCTTCTGCATCCTCTGTGTCTCCTGCATCTTTATTGCATCCCTGCAATCGCATCGCGTGCATCCCTATGCCACATCTTCCCCAGCATCAGGGTGCGGGCATCCTGCGAACAACATGTCCCCAGCATTTACTGCTGTATTCACTGTCCCCGGTATCCTCTGAAGCCATTGCATCCCCTACATCCACACGGCATTTGCTGCACTCGCTGCCCACATTTGCACTCCCTTGCAGCAGGCCATGAAAGTGCGTTTCCTTGCCAAAGCCTCGTTGACAGAGTCCAATGGCGGAACCCTTTGGGGGTTTCCCGCTTGATTTGGGTGTGCCGTTTGACGGTTCCCGAATTGTGATTTGGAGGCGGCCAAGAATCACCTCTTTCGGGATTCCCTGGAAACTTACCCTCCCTCCCACTAATATGGCAGCCGTGGGGGGTACCTGCGGGCCCTTATCAGGTGCCATGTTAGTGGGAGATAGGGTAGAACACCTGTCTCATTTCGGCCAAACTCCGAGGCGACGATCCGCACCAGGCAAGAGGAGTGCCGAGTTCGGGTTGCGAGTTCTCGGAGCCTGGGCCCAGTGCTTTGCTTAAGTGGGCGACCCCGAAGCCAACGGGGATGCTGATTGGAGCGGTCATTCAGAAATTCAGATTCACCCGAACTGACAAATCGGATTCAGCAATTGAGCGCGGCAGGGATTGTGAAAGTCGGAGTTCCTAGGCTCTCCGCCCTTCTCCCCCTGTCTCACTGGGTTAGGTGAGCTTTGAGAATAGCGGGCAAGGCTGGTGCTTGGGACGCAAGTGATGCTCTGGGTAGTGCAGGTGGCAAATTCACTTCGTTTCTTTCGCCATATACTTCGGACTGGGCTGTGCATTGCTGCCCAGACAGACTTCGGTTTTCTACCCAGAGAGCTGCCCTTAGCCTTTTTGCCCTACACTGAATGGTCATCCTACTTCGCCAAACAACTGGCATGATCGCCCCCCTCGCTCCTATCAGCGTTCTAGCCTACTTGTGCCATGGGACGAGCCTCCAAGCAATTCACGCATGCCATGATTCTAGGTCAAGGTCACCCCGTGGTGACCTCAATGAAAACTCAGGCGCTGTCGCCAACTTGTCGTAGGCTGGTTCCTGCGCAAAAGAACCTGTCTGGAGAAGCAATCGCCAGACTTGTTGTTTTTTGGCACTCCTTTGGGAGCCTCATGGCGAATCTCGGAACTTGAGAGTCTTGGAGCTCCTTTTATGCGCTTAAAGGCAAAAACAGATAGCAAGCCAGCCACACAAGATTTCCTTCGGGCGCAAGCATCCACTCGCTGCACGTTTCTGCCTTTCTGCTGGAGGCTGGAGACCACGACTCCTCTGGCGCTGTGAGGGGCGCGGAGGCTGGATGGCTTGGGGAGCATGCCCTGGCTGTGGAAGGTGTGGCTGAATTTTGAGCAGCCTTTGCCTCTTGCAGTTTTTGAGATGATGGCGTCTGAAGACTGACTGGACCTTTTTTTTCCTGCAGTGCTTGGCCGTTTGGGGGTGAGCAAAAACGCGCAATTGCCTTCATGTGGTGAAGTAAAGGGCATGGTGAAACCAGAATGCGACAAACACCATCTACAACTCTTCCAAGTTTTCGAGAGTTTTCGAGAGTTTTCGAGAGTTTTTGACCCGGCCTTTCCAGGAACTGAAGAAACTGGAGGGCGGTGTGGTGCGAGTCGACCTCCTGAACAATAACAACTCTCAGCAGGGGGCCTCGGCGTTCATCTCGTGCAATAGCCCTAGTTATGCATTCCGCCCCCAAATTGTTAGGAGAACGCTAAGAAAAGCAGGATTAATTGATCAGTTGTGTATCTTGGTCATGTTTCAGTCTTAGAATTATTTGTGGGTGCAGGTCTCTCCCGCATTTTTGGATGCCCTCAGCACAAACTAGAACGAGCTTACACCCTACATTGTGTTGTGTCTATCATCACCTGCGTTGTTTGCGTCACCTACTTTGTCTGGGTGAGAGCATCCTTGCTCATGCATCTTCTCGTCTGCTTCATCTGCCGCATCAACTGCATTACTTGCATTACCTGCATCACCTGCATCAATTGCTCACCTGCATCATCGGCATCATTTGCATCATCACCTACATCACCTGCATTTCCTGCATCCATGCATTTGGGTGTCCAAGGTACTATGGAGATCCTTGACACCATCAGCTGGGAGGGAGGGCAGGAGGGCAGGAGGGCAGGCAAGCCCTTGGTTGTGCAAAATGGCTATGTGCTGAGGGTGTTGCCTGATGAAGTCTTTTTTCTGAGCGGACGATTCTTTCGTTTTGTTTTGCAGGAAGCTGGGTCTGTTTGCGAAAGAATCTGGGCGAATGATATTTATGGATAGCAAGTGAAGGCCACTTTGTGCGGGTGTCTGGTGTGCCACTGTCACTGTTGCACAGGGATGTAGGGATGCTTGGAGACGCAGTGAATGCAGTGCCACAAATGCAGGAGTGCCTTTGTACAACATGGCATGCAGCGCGACGCAGACAATGCAGGTAATGAGTAAAATGCAGATAATGCGAGAAATGCGGGCGATGCAGGGAATGCGAGCAATGTAGGCAATGCTGGGAATGCGGGGAATGCAGAAATGCAGGGATACAAGGAATGCTGGGAATGTAGGAAATGCAGGCAATGCAGGAAATGCAGGGAATGCAGGGAATGCAGGGAATGCAGGGAATGTAGGGAATGCAGGGAATGCAGAGAAGAAAGAACGCGGGGAATGCAGGAAATGCAAACGAAAGGCCGCAAAAAGGGTCAATGGCGATGGTCTTGCGTCCTTTCCGAGCCAGTCTTCAAGGCAAACATGGCCATTCTTCAGTTTGTCTAAGAGCCGCCAGACAAATTTGGCCGAAATGTAAGACAATGCGTTGGAAGGGCCTGGGCTTTCAGACACGGCTCTTCGCCCAACTGATGGAACCCGCCATTTCGACGGGGGTCTACTCCTCCTCCCAATATAATGTGGCTGTGGCAACAAATGGGACACAAAATAGCGCGTTGGTACATGTAAAGATGGACGAAAAGCTGCGTATCCCCGTCTAAATTTCAGCCACACCCATATCTATCCCCGCGAAGCTACATGTGTTGTGGGCAGTTGTGAATTCCTCCGGAAATGCCTTGTGAGACCTTTCTTGCCACCAATTTGGGCACACCAAGAACATGTTCAGCTTTTTTAAGGCAGTCAACTACCATTGCAGCTTTTGACACATTCCTTCCGATCCACGCAGCTTGCCTCTCAGGATTTCACGCCTCCTTGCTGCAGTATTGCCTGGGGCGGGCCATTTTCGCTCTGCCATGTTCGCAGGCTGTTCACGGACAAACTTGGCAAGCACGTGGAGTGCATCTTTCTTACCTTCTACGTGTGTTCAACATGCGGGTATTGCACGGCCAGACCGGCTATGGCAATGCGTGTTGTAATGCATTATGTGTGTAACAGTTTGCATCAACCAGGTGGCAGAACATTGCAGGACCAACTGTTGGCAATTGTCGTTTGTTGCTCGGCTGGCTTCAAGATACGGCTGTGGATCAAAACCCTGTACCCCTGGTGAACATCAAATAGGTGGTACATGGGTGTTCATCGCAGAACACAATATATGGGGAGCAACAAAAGCTGCGGTACCCCTAAATACGTTTCCCATGATGCGTACATACACGTGCAATGGTCATGCTTTGTGTTGATCATTCACACCATAGAAGTCAAGCATATACACACATATATCAACTGCATCATATACCCACATAAACATGTATTATGAACACATCCATGCAACAGACGAGCAACACAAGCATTATTTCATATTTCGCTTTTATTGATATCCTTACAACTCCCCCCCCGAGAAAGGCAGGTAAGTGACATGTCCATCCAGCTTTGTTCACGCGGACACCAGGTTCCTGCTTCTCCCCTCGTCTTTTTTTCGCCTCATTCGGGGTGCCTCCCAGAGAGCGGAGAGCGGAGAGCCGAGGCTGGGGAGCCCGGCGCAGCGCTTCACCGCGGTCTTCGACACGGGGAGCGGCATCACCTGGGTGCCTGGCAGCGCCTGCAAGAGCTTCCCGCCCAAAGTTCTGGACGCCAGCGAAAGCCCAAAGAAGCCGATGCAAACCTATTCTTACGAGCTGGGGAGCCGCAAGTGCTCCTAGCTTTGGACGCGGAGAACTCCCCGGTGCTTTCCATGGGAGTTTTTGGGGCAGAAGGATCAAAGGGTCAGCTAAATAAAGGGGCGACATGAGGGGGCGAAGTACTGGTGCTACGAGAGCAACTGAACACTGGTGGGTTACGAGAGGGGTCTAAATAATGGCTCAGTAATGGGGCTACATAAGGGGCCAAATCATGGGGCTCAGCAATAGGGCTGAGCAATGGGGGGCCAGATATAAGCGACTAGTTAAAGATGGTCACAAAAAGGGCTACAGGAGTGCTGAGAGTTTGCTCCTGTGATGAAGATGTTGTTGACTACCCCAACCCATCTTGATTACTTGTTGTTCTTATTGTCGAGAATCCCTCCAAACATGGCTAGATGGTTGGGTGAAAGTAGATGGCACAAATTCCTCCATCTTGGTTTAGTCATCCGTTCTACCTACTGGCATCAAGGGAATTGTGCCATCTACCTTAACCCCGGTGTAACTGGTTGGTGTGTTTTTTCTTAAGATTTTGTGCTTGAATGGGGACCCCTCAAGGTTGCTCACCGTTTCAGAGATGCACTTAACCCTCGGACCCCTTGAGATTCTTGAGGGCACCCTGCTTGTGTTGAAAAGGGATACCAAAGGGAAGAAAGGAAAACCACCCGTTTTGGGCCGTTCCTCATTTAGAGGCAAGCCCAACACAAAAGACCCATTCACTTGAGATAGGGACGGATGTGGACCCCTTGTCGGTGAATTTAGATGGATTCCTATAAAGGGCACATGTGCTGGAAAGGGTCAGCACATCTTAGTTTGGTGCAGAAAGTCCATGAGTACGGAGACCTGAAGAGAATCCCTTGACTTCCATTCACCACTAAAAGTCTCACCCCAAGGGGCACCACCGAACAGCATGTCAGGAAATGTTTTGAATCTGTAAAGCTGCTGGATTTGGGCGAATTCCTTGTGAAACAGGTCAATTCATCTGAACTTGGCCCCTCCCTGCAGTTCGTTTGAGCCCGATCTCCGTGAGGCGATACCTGCTCGGAGCACCACCGCTTCGCGGTGGGCGACTCCAAGAGTTTTGAGGCGCGGGAGCCAAATCTGTCTCTCGGTAGCGCTTGTCTTGACGAGTCAAAGCTTGGTGGATGAGCAGCTATATGGGTATGGGTCAAAATCAATCGACCAGAAAACCGCAGGTTGTAGTCCATGACTCCATTTACCAGGGTTCCATTTTTGGTACCTATTTTTGACCCACAGCCATATCCGTTTCGATTCGTCTTGATCCAAATAGTTTGCAACAAGGTTGCGCCATGTTGCCGAACCCCAGAGAGGCAATAGGTTTGCTCCCAGGATTGGACTCCTGATCAGCACGTTAGGTCAGTTTGGCTGAAAGCAGATGGATTCCACCGGTTTCAGTTGGCTCTTATCATTTACTTATGCCAACTACCGTATTTCCCAAGATTACTTTTCAAAAAACAAACCAAGGCCCAGACCCCAAAAAGCCATCCCGCTCGGCGAGCTTAGGAGCTCGACCCCGTGCGTGCCGACGGCACCATCCACTATGGCACCGGCCAGGCTGCTGGCCTTTGACGCCGCGTTTGTCGATGTTCCAGGGTCGCTGTTGGGGAGACCACCTGGGCGGTTTTTTGTTGTTGCTTCAGGTAACCCGCCAGGTTGGTTGGGAGCTTGGGAGCCCGGTTTGGATTTGGATTTGAATGGGTTCCTGGCTTTTGTCGAGGGTAAATGGGGTTCACCCCTCCGGAACCAAACCACGATCCAAACCAACAATTGTCAATTGGGAACCTCCAAACTCCAAAGTGGCTGGTGGACATGAATCTTTTGAACAAAATGCACATTTGGGGTGAAACCCTCGATTCGCTGGGAGGGAATGCGGGCTCACGCACTAGGCAAAATGGAGGACATTTCGGGCACGCGGGAAGTAGTCCGCCCAAGAGCTCTCCTCATGTCACGTACTCAAGCGCTCACCTCATGAGCTCCCTAAATCAGGGGTTGCCCTCTCAGACAGTCCTGAGTTCAGGTCGGAGAAATCTGGAGGCTCGCGTAGGTTCAATGGGTCTCCACTGTCTCCCAGTGTGCCCACCCCCAGGACTGTGCCCATGGCCCTGCGATGTGGATGGCGGCGCTCTTGCAAACCATGGCATTTGCTGCTGTTTGCTGTCGGGTTCGACAGCAACCTCCATCATAGGTATCTATCCTATCAAAAGGCACGGGGAACGTGGCACGCACAGACACACACACACACACACACACGCATATATGTCCTACTCAAGGAGTCTAAAAATGCCGTGGCGCTCCCCACACTAACTGGTCTTGGGCTTAGCTCAATGGTTGAGCCCTGTTGCAATGGTTGTAGTGGGGGTTAACTACGGGTTGGATGCACTTGGATGCGCGGCCCGTGGTTGGCACCTTGGGTAACCCCCTAGCAAGATCCCCACTTCGGGGACTAAGCGTGATACTGAGCACCCAAGACGTCAACTCCCGGCCGGTCGCATAGGTGGAGTACGTCGACGGCAGAGACACCTTGACCTTCTGCGACAGCCACAGCGACCCGGGGTGCCACGGGGTCAAGGCGAAGCGCCTCAAGGTGCGAAGGATGGGCGGAAGCGGCCCCTTTGGCTGGCGAGGCGTGTGGATTGGTGGTTTGGATTGGTGGTTTGGTTTGGAGCTGGAATCTCTTTTGAGTTTTTCCCTGTTTCTTCGAAGTGATTTTAAGGGGTTAGTGGTCTGGTTACCCTACCTGTCGAGCGAAGAACAAGGCACTGCATCCTTGAACATGTTGCAGGCGCCAGCAGCCATTCATAAGTTTCCTGGCTTGGTTTCCTCCAACCGTTTCGGCTAGAGAGGTCTCTCTGGAACCTGGCTGGAATGCACCGAACCTCTTTTTTTGGGCCCCGGATTGGTGGTGAAATTGGTGGATTGAGGGAAAGGATTGTGTGAATTTACCTCATTCAGAGCAGATCCCAGTGAACAGAACTGCGGGCCTTGTTTTTGCCTTTCCAGGTTGCTTTGTTGAGCTGCAAAAGGAGTGTGCTTTCACAATCTTGTTCTTGAGGCGTACCTGGTGTGAGTGGATTGACGCCATACTCTCTGTATCAACTGGCAACTGGCAATGTCAGAAGCAAGAACAAATTGGATGGACAGTTTCAATTTTGTCTCCTGTTCCAGCAGTCATGAACATGGACAAGGAAGCAGCCCAACGTTGTGAATCAACCACTTCCCTTGTTGCAGCCAAGTGCTCGGCAGGTGAATAGCCAACCCTTTGGCATGTCCACCAATCAGCCGCCTGGCGGCAACGTGCTGAGTGCCCTCAGGGGCTCTCAAAGTGGTGATTTGCCTAGATGCCATAGAAACCCTTCGACCTGAACTTGCTTAGTCGATGTCCTTTTTAGGTTAGCTTGGTCAAAAATAGAAGGCACTGGTTTAGATGGGTTTAGGACACCTATGTGGGGGACATCTTGGTAAGTGGAATTTTGGAGTACCAGACTAGGCAACTAGTTCGACGGGTCAGTAGGCAACCCAGCAATTTTCTGCCCAGCAGCTCCACGGTGCTGTCTCCCATGTGGGGTTTCCGTATCCCATTTTGAGATGGGCTTCGTTGCTTTTGTTGGGACGGCTTTCAAGGGAAGGCAACTGGAAGCGACCCTTTAGATATATTTTCTCCCCCCCCCCCATTTTGAGACAAACCCATGTCTTCTTTCGCAGGAAACCCAAATGACAACCAACAGCCCGATTCTGAGACACACCCACATCAGGTTGTCTCAAAATAGGGAACCCCTCCCCACAGAGTGTGGTTTGCTGTTTTGGTTTCCCCGGAAAGCCATCGCAAAGAGGGGACCATCAACAAAAGAAGACATGCCCATATGGTGTGCCTCCAAGGCAGATCCAACATCGCCCGCCAACAAGAGGCTCATACCCAGGACCTTGCGTAGGTACATGGGAGCTGGGTGCCTCCAAAAACCTACTAGACCTGATTGTGTTCCATGCAAAATAGTACAGTTTTCAACACTTGGCTTCCAAAAGCCTTACTACGGTTGATGTGACCTAGGGCGGGCGCCTAAGAATCGCCGGACTTAGGACGGACTACCCCTTCCGCATCTTGCCCTTCGACGGCATCTTGGGGCTGGCGCCCTCCGCGTCCACCGGCTCCGTGGTGCACGCGCGCCTCGGACCATTGGACCGGATCTGGACGAGCGATGAGCTGAGCCCTTAAAAGGGTAGAGAAACAGAACGGGGGGTCCAACCCCCTTGGGTTGGATTCCAGTTGCTTGGTTTCCATGTGGTTTCGTAAAGGGAATCCGGATCGAAGCATCACTCTCTGGCGAGAGGTGCATCTTGACGGGCTGTTTGGGGGCATTTTGACAATCGCCCTTGATGTTGCACGGATTTACATTTTCAATCCGAGTACTTCTGGGTGCTATAGCAGGTAACGGGGGGAATTGTGCTGCTTTCCTGGTTTCCCCGACGTATGATGGACGCTTTTCGCAGCAATTGGCCGGTTCAGGATGCACCCCGCTCAACCTCATCTCGAGTAATAAGCAAGTTTCAGGGTTCCCTGTAATATTGGTTTTGGGGTGAGTTTTGAGCATCACGTTTTGGGCCGAGTTGAAGTGAGCTTCCTTTTGGTGCTGTCCGATCGGGAAACATAGAGAGCCCTGAGTTTTACTAGAACCTTGGCACGTTGGCAACCAGCAACCGTGCCGACAGGTGACATTTTGCGCCGACTTTCAACCCTGGGCTCGAGAATATGTCTATTGGTTCAATGGTTGGACCACCCTCCAAAACGGTAGGTGGTTCTCAGCCATGCCCCTAGGTGGTTTAAGTTGTTTGGGGAGTGAAATTTTTAGCAGGGGAAAAGCCCAGAAAACGGTAAGCGGACCAATGTCCACCAGGTCCAACTTATCATTACTGACATGTTGCGCCGCTCAAAGAGCAGATGTGGTGTCTTGCTTGCTACCTAGCATGACAGCTAACATGGTGTGTCATTTGGGGTTGGTTTGCCTCTTGGTTTCCCGTCAAAGCCAGCCAAAAAGGGTTCCCATAACAAAGGACGTACCCATTTTAGCCTTCTGGAGAATGGCTTTTCACCGGACAAATAAAACAGTTTGCACCAGGACGACTGTAGATGGCACAGGTTCCTCTATTTGGGCAAGGGGATGGCGAAACCCAAATGGGAGCTTCGCAAAATGGTCTTGTAGGAAGTCGACCTATTTTGGGAAATTTCCAAATCAGAGGCAGTTTCAAAGGAAACTGAAGAAGGGGGTTTGGTGCCTTGAACTAGCTGAATTTGTTTTCTGTAAGTTCCCAATCTAACCGAGAGCCTGGAATGGCACGTCTCCAAAGGTTGAATACTGGAACTGCTAACCTCTCTGCTGGAATTTCAGTAGTTCCAAGATTCTCTTTTAACACCACCAGGATATATATATATATATATTAATATATAAATTCACATATATTTACCCCTGACCTTGTGGTATATATATATATTCGCATGTATATATTTACCCCTGACCTTGTGGTATGTACACATATATATATATATAGAAATACACATGTAAAAGGTTAATCAGCGATGAAGGCGGCTGATCGGGGAGCTTTTCCTGGGTGGGATGTCCTGGCTTCAGGCTCAAGAAGAGCCATGCGCTGGACCGCAACATCTTCGGCGTGTACCTCTCGGAGGAGACGAGTGTAGCCAACAAGCAGAGGTACACAGACAGAGGGTTAAGCCATTCTTGCCGGGTACAATCAATGGATCATGTATCCTTTGGCTACATTGGTGGTATTTTAGTATCATTGCTGACGGCTCATCATGCTTTCCATTCCTTCCTTTCCTCCCTTTCTTCAGCCCAGCGTTCGTTCATTGGTTCGCTCATTCGTTTGGCCGCCAGCCATGTTGAGCATTGCGGAGAGGCGGCTGTTCCTCCTTCCTTCCCATGCGAAATGTCATCTGCGCTCAGCTTGCTTTGCCATAGCCCGGACCCATCCAAGCAACCCTTAGGGCCCAGGTGAAAGCATGGAGCTTCATGTCAGTTGACAAGAGTGGGGACGGTCCCCCCCAACTATTGTGATGATGCAGACTGGAGCAACCTAGCAAACAGTGACCATGGCATTAGAAAGGCTCAACTGTACCACTGGCTTCTTGCTTGCCAGGCATGTTTCGTACGCCCACCGCGGGTATCTTCCTGGCTTGTCCCCTTTTTCTTTGCTGGAGATTCATTTGTTGGTGTAGCGCAATGTGTTTGGCATTTGGGCCGCACAACTTTGAGCATCTCTTGTGTTTCACAAGGCGATATCTTGTTTGGGACTTCTGGCTCAAGCAGTGGCACCTCTTCCCCAAAGCACCTCCCCGTTCCCATTCCTTCTGGGTCCACTGTTCGAACATGATAGATTCCCTCAAACCTTCGGCTCATTCCCTCTACTTGTCGGGCTTCCACTCTGTTAAGCCTTTTGAAGAACCCTTTTTCTAGGAAGGCTAGCTTCAACTTGGTACAATGTTGATCTAGATTTACCAAAGAGAGTCCAACAAGTTAAACACATATGTCTCCTGGGCCAGTCCTTTTGCCGAGTTTTCTTTGGGCGAGGACACGCACCGCAGCGGCAGTATCTCCTTCGGCGGCATCGAGGGTGCGCACGTCGCCCCGCGGCTCGGGCGAAAGCGATGGCCCCTGTGGGGAGAGCTCGGCGAGCGGCACGCCCACCGGAGAAAGTCCGCTTCGCAGTTGATAGGTTCATCTCCCGGTACTCATGGGGTTTCAGTAGGCTTTTGTACATTTGCAAGGGTTCGTTTCAAGAGAAAATTGATCTTACCTGCCAGATGCTTCAACCCGATACATCTGCAAGATCCAAGCATGTTTCGGCTTCTCGAACCAGCCAGCCGGGCTTTTGGAGAAACCAGAAAGAAACGCCCAAGAATGGGTGGTTCCTAAAATCGGACCCCAACCAATGGTTTGTTTCCTTGTGAACGTCGTCCAAAATGGATCCCGCAATGTGAGCATTGGACAATGGTAGCTGTTTCGGGAATACAGGGCTGGTGTTGGGAACAGGGTTGAGAGTGTCAGGAACAGTGAGTCAAGAATTTGGCTGGGAACGTGGCGTGATGTACTCCCTACCAGGTGGTGGATGTGTTTTGCAGGAACCAGGTAGCGGACGTGTTTTGTAGGAACCAGGTGGATGTCTTTTTCAGGAACCACGCGGTGGACTCTCTTTTCAGGAGCCAGGTGGTGGATGTATTTTTAAGGAATCCGGAAACAGTTGGTGGATTGCCTTTTCAGAGTTTTTTAGTAATCAGTTTCCGGGGGGTACCAATCAGGTCCCGGCTAGGTACCAAGTTGATACCCGTTTCAAGGCTGGCTGTGTGGGTTCAGGAAACAGGACAATTAGGTGCTCTCAAGACTGGGTGTTTTCAGGTTCCAGGAAAGGCTGTGTGGTATCAGGAAAGGCTTGGGTGTTTCATGAGAGACTGGGTGGTGGTTTCCTGGTTTCACGTTTGTTTTCAGGGAGTGGTTCCAGGATGGCGCTGGGCGGTTTCAGGAAAGACTGGGTGCTGGTTTCAGGTGTGGTTTCAGGAGGCGACGTGTGGTTTCAGGAAGGGCCGTGTGGTTTACAGCAAAGCTGTGTGGTTTCACGAAGGTGTGGGTCCCATATGATGTCGGAAGTCTGATGGTTTAGGGGTTGATTTAGGTGATGTTTAGGGTTTGTTTAGGGCTCCCTTAGGGTTGAGTTAGGTTTTGTTATTAGGGTTGGTTTAGAGGTTTTAGGCTTGGTTCATGTTTTTAGGCTTGGTTTAGGGGTCGGTTGGGTCAGGTTTAGGGCCCGCTTAGGGATAGGTTGGAGTTGATCTAAAACGCAGCAGGGGGTTGGGGGGGCAAAGATATGCCTGATGTCAACAAAGGTGCCGGGCTGTTTCATGAAAGACTGGGCGGTGGTTTCAGGAAAGGTTTGGCGGTGTCAGGAAAGTCTGGGGTGGTTCCAGGAAAGGCTGCGTGGTTTCAGGGAAGGCTGTGTGGTGGCAGGAAGGACTGGGTGCTGGTTTCAGGAAAGGCTGGGTGCTGGTTTGCGGAAAGGTTTGGTGGTTTCAGGAAAGGCTGGGCGGTTTCAGGAAAGGCTGGGCGGTTTCAGGCTGGGTGGCGGTTTCAGTAAAGACCGGGTGGTGGTTTTAGCGGTTTCAAGCAAGCAGGCTGGGTGGTTTCAGGAAAGACTGGGTGCTGGTTTCAGGTGTGGTTTCAGGAGGCGACGTGTGGTTTCAGGAAGGGCCGTGTGGTTTACAGCAAAGCTGTGTGGTTTCACGAAGGTGTGGGTCCCATATGATGTCGGAAGTCTGATGGTTTAGGGGTTGATTTAGGTGATGTTTAGGGTTTGTTTAGGGCTCCCTTAGGGTTGAGTTAGGTTTTGTTATTAGGGTTGGTTTAGAGGTTTTAGGCTTGGTTCATGTTTTTAGGCTTGGTTTAGGGGTCGGTTGGGTCAGGTTTAGGGCCCGCTTAGGGATAGGTTGGAGTTGATCTAAAAAGCAGCGGGGGGGTTGGGGGGGCAAAGATATGCCTGATGTCAACAAAGGTGCCGGGCTGTTTCATGAAAGACTGGGCGGTGGTTTCAGGAAAGGTTTGGTGGTGTCAGGAAAGTCTGGGGTGGTTCCAGGAAAGGCTGCGTGGTTTCAGGGAAGGCTGTGTGGTGGCAGGAAGGACTGGGTGCTGGTTTCAGGAAAGGCTGGGTGCTGGTTTGCGGAAAGGTTTGGTGGTTTCAGGAAAGGCTGGGCGGTTTCAGGAAAGGCTGGGCGGTTTCAGGCTGGGTGGCGGTTTCAGTAAAGACCGGGTGGTGGTTTTAGCGGTTTCAAGCAAGCAGGCTGGGTGGTTTCAGGAAAGACTGGGTGCTGGTTTCAGGTGTGGTTTCAGGAGGCGACGTGTGGTTTCAGGAAGGGCCGTGTGGTTTACAGCAAAGCTGTGTGGTTTCACGAAGGTGTGGGTCCCATATGATGTCGGAAGTCTGATGGTTTAGGGGTTGATTTAGGTGATGTTTAGGGTTTGTTTAGGGCTCCCTTAGGGTTGATTTAGGTTTTGTTTTGGGGTTGGTTTAGAGGTTTTAGGCTTGGTTTATGAGTTTGGGGTTGGTTTAGGGGTCGGTTGGGTCAGGTTTAGGGCCCGCTTAGGGATAGGTTGGAGTTGATCTAAAAAGCAGCGGGGGGTTGGGGGGGCAAAGGTATGCCTGATGTCAACAAAGGTGCCGGGCTGTTTCATGAAAGACTGGGCGGTGGTTTCAGGAAAGGTTTGGTGGTGTCAGGAAAGGCTGCGTGGTTTCAGGGAAGGCTGTGTGGTGGCAGGAAAGACTGGGTGCTGGTTTCAGGAAAGGCTGTGTGATTTCCGGAAAGACTGGGCTGGGTGCTGGTTTGCGGAAAGGTTTGGTGGTTTCAGGAAAGCTGGGAAAAGCTGGGTTGTTTTGGGCTCCCTTAGGGTTGCTTTAGGTTTGGTTTTAGGGTTGGTTTGAGGTTGGGTTTTTGGTTGTTTCAGGGTCGGTTTAGGTCAGGTTTGGGGCCAGCTGAGGGGGTTGGGCTGAGGTTGATCTAAAGGAGGGTAAAAATGAAGGTTTCCCTTTTCCGGAAACAGGTGGTGGATTGCTTTTTCAAGAAGCCAGGCGCTGGAAGAATGTTATACCAATCAGTTGCCGGGGGTACCAATCAGGTCCTGGCCAGGTACCAAGTTCATATCCATTTCAAGGCTGGCAACAGGAAAACTGGGTGCTTTCAGGAAAAACGGGCGGTCTCAAAAAAGACTGGGAAGCACAGCGGGGGGTTGGCGGGGGCGGCGGCCCCCCATGATGTTGGGAGGAAAGGCCGGGTGGTTTCAGGAGGTGCCGGGTGGTTTCAGGAAAGGCTGTGTGGTTTCCGGCGATGCTGTGTGGTTTCACGAGAGTGTGTATGGTTTCAGGCAAGGCTGGGTGGTTTCAGGAGGTGCCAGGTTGTTTCAGGAAAGATTGGGTGGTTTTAGGACAGGCTGCGTCGCGCGTGGTTTCAGGAAAGGGTGTGGTTGGAGGAAAGACTGGGTGCTGGTTTCAGGAAAGGCTGGGTGCTGGTTTGCGGAAAGGTTTGGTGGTTTCAGGAAAGGCTGGGCGGTTTCAGGAAAGGCTGGGCGGTTTCAGGCTGGGTGGCGGTTTCAGTAAAGACCGGGTGGTGGTTTTAGCGGTTTCAAGCAAGCAGGCTGGGTGGTTTCAGGAAAGACTGGGTGCTGGTTTCAGGTGTGGTTTCAGGAGGCGACGTGTGGTTTCAGGAAGGGCCGTGTGGTTTACAGCAAAGCTGTGTGGTTTCACGAAGGTGTGGGTCCCATATGATGTCGGAAGTCTGATGGTTTAGGGGTTGATTTAGGTGATGTTTAGGGTTTGTTTAGGGCTCCCTTAGGGTTGATTTAGGTTTTGTTTTGGGGTTGGTTTAGAGGTTTTAGGCTTGGTTTATGAGTTTGGGGTTGGTTTAGGGGTCGGTTGGGTCAGGTTTAGGGCCCGCTTAGGGATAGGTTGGAGTTGATCTAAAAAGCAGCGGGGGGTTGGGGGGGCAAAGGTATGCCTGATGTCAACAAAGGTGCCGGGCTGTTTCATGAAAGACTGGGCGGTGGTTTCAGGAAAGGTTTGGTGGTGTCAGGAAAGGCTGCGTGGTTTCAGGGAAGGCTGTGTGGTGGCAGGAAAGACTGGGTGCTGGTTTCAGGAAAGGCTGTGTGATTTCCGGAAAGACTGGGCTGGGTGCTGGTTTGCGGAAAGGTTTGGTGGTTTCAGGAAAGCTGGGAAAAGCTGGGTTGTTTTGGGCTCCCTTAGGGTTGCTTTAGGTTTGGTTTTAGGGTTGGTTTGAGGTTGGGTTTTTGGTTGTTTCAGGGTCGGTTTAGGTCAGGTTTGGGGCCAGCTGAGGGGGTTGGGCTGAGGTTGATCTAAAGGAGGGGTAAAAATGAAGGTTTCCCTTTTCCGGAAACGGTGGTGGATTGCTTTTTCAAGAAGCCAGGCGCTGGAAGAATGTTATACCAATCAGTTGCCGGGGGTACCAATCAGGTCCTGGCCAGGTACCAAGTTCATATCCATTTCAAGGCTGGCAACAGGAAAACTGGGTGCTTTCAGGAAAAACGGGCGGTCTCAAAAAAGACTGGGAAGCACAGCGGGGGGTTGGCGGGGGCGGCGGCCCCCCATGATGTTGGGAGGAAAGGCCGGGTGGTTTCAGGAGGTGCCGGGTGGTTTCAGGAAAGGCTGTGTGGTTTCCGGCGATGCTGTGTGGTTTCACGAGAGTGTGTATGGTTTCAGGCAAGGCTGGGTGGTTTCAGGAGGTGCCAGGTTGTTTCAGGAAAGATTGGGTGGTTTTAGGACAGGCTGCGTCGCGCGTGGTTTCAGGAAAGGGTGTGGTTGGAGGAAAGACTGGGTGCTGGTTTCAGGAAAGGCTGGGTGCTGGTTTGCGGAAAGGTTTGGTGGTTTCAGGAAAGGCTGGGCGGTTTCAGGAAAGGCTGGGCGGTTTCAGGCTGGGTGGCGGTTTCAGTAAAGACCGGGTGGTGGTTTTAGCGGTTTCAAGCAAGCAGGCTGGGTGGTTTCAGGAAAGACTGGGTGCTGGTTTCAGGTGTGGTTTCAGGAGGCGACGTGTGGTTTCAGGAAGGGCCGTGTGGTTTACAGCAAAGCTGTGTGGTTTCACGAAGGTGTGGGTCCCATATGATGTCGGAAGTCTGATGGTTTAGGGGTTGATTTAGGTGATGTTTAGGGTTTGTTTAGGGCTCCCTTAGGGTTGATTTAGGTTTTGTTTTGGGGTTGGTTTAGAGGTTTTAGGCTTGGTTTATGAGTTTGGGGTTGGTTTAGGGGTCGGTTGGGTCAGGTTTAGGGCCCGCTTAGGGATAGGTTGGAGTTGATCTAAAAAGCAGCGGGGGGTTGGGGGGGCAAAGGTATGCCTGATGTCAACAAAGGTGCCGGGCTGTTTCATGAAAGACTGGGCGGTGGTTTCAGGAAAGGTTTGGTGGTGTCAGGAAAGGCTGCGTGGTTTCAGGGAAGGCTGTGTGGTGGCAGGAAAGACTGGGTGCTGGTTTCAGGAAAGGCTGTGTGATTTCCGGAAAGACTGGGCTGGGTGCTGGTTTGCGGAAAGGTTTGGTGGTTTCAGGAAAGCTGGGAAAAGCTGGGTTGTTTTGGGCTCCCTTAGGGTTGCTTTAGGTTTGGTTTTAGGGTTGGTTTGAGGTTGGGTTTTTGGTTGTTTCAGGGTCGGTTTAGGTCAGGTTTGGGGCCAGCTGAGGGGGTTGGGCTGAGGTTGATCTAAAGGAGGGGTAAAAATGAAGGTTTCCCTTTTCCGGAAACGGTGGTGGATTGCTTTTTCAAGAAGCCAGGCGCTGGAAGAATGTTATACCAATCAGTTGCCGGGGGTACCAATCAGGTCCTGGCCAGGTACCAAGTTCATATCCATTTCAAGGCTGGCAACAGGAAAACTGGGTGCTTTCAGGAAAAACGGGCGGTCTCAAAAAAGACTGGGAAGCACAGCGGGGGGTTGGCGGGGGCGGCGGCCCCCCATGATGTTGGGAGGAAAGGCCGGGTGGTTTCAGGAGGTGCCGGGTGGTTTCAGGAAAGACTGGGCGGTGGTTTCAGGAAAGGTTTGGTGGTGTCAGGAAAGTCTGGGGTGGTTCCAGGAAAGGCTGCGTGGTTTCAGGGAAGGCTGTGTGGTGGCAGGAAAGACTGGGTGCTGGTGTCAGGAAAGGCTGGGTGCTGGTTTGCGGAAAGGTTTGGTGGTTTCAGGAAAGGCTGGGCGGTTTCAGGAAAGGCTGGGCGGTTTCAGGCTGGGTGGCGGATTCAGAAAAGACCGGGTGGTGGTTTTAGCGGTTTCAAGAAAGCAGGCTGAGTGGTTTCAGGAAAGGCTGGGGTGTTTCAGGAAAGGCTGGGGTGTTTCATGAAAGACTGGGTGCTGGTTTCAGGTGTGGTTTCAGGAGGCGACGTGTGGTTTCAGGAAGGGCCGTGTGGTTTACAGCAAAGCTGTGTGGTTTCACGGAGGTGTGTGTGTCCCATATGATATGATGTTGGACGTCTGATGGTTTAGGGATTGATTTAGGTGAGGTTTAGGGTTTGTTTAGGGCCCGCTTAGGGTTGATTTAGGTTTGGTTTTGGGGTTGGTTTGGAGGTTTTAGGCTTGGTTTATGTTTTTCGGGTTGGTTTAGCGGTCGGTTGGGTCAGGTTTAGGGCCCGCTTAGGGATAGGTTGGAGTTGATCTAAAAAGCAGCGGGGGGGTTGGGGGGGCAAAGATATGCCTGATGTCAACAAAGGTGCCGGGCTGTTTCATGAAAGACTGGGCGGTGGTTTCAGGAAAGGTTTGGCGGTGTCAGGAAAGTCTGGGGTGGTTCCAGGAAAGGCTGCGTGGTTTCAGGGAAGGCTGTGTGGTGGCAGGAAGGACTGGGTGCTGGTTTCAGGAAAGGCTGGGTGCTGGTTTGCGGAAAGGTTTGGTGGTTTCAGGAAAGGCTGGGCGGTTTCAGGAAAGGCTGGGCGGTTTCAGGCTGGGTGGCGGATTCAGAAAAGACCGGGTGGTGGTTTTAGCGGTTTCAAGAAAGCAGGCTGAGTGGTTTCAGGAAAGGCTGGGGTGTTTCAGGAAAGGCTGGGGTGTTTCATGAAAGACTGGGTGCTGGTTTCAGGTGTGGTTTCAGGAGGCGACGTGTGGTTTCAGGAAGGGCCGTGTGGTTTACAGCAAAGCTGTGTGGTTTCACGAAGGTGTGTGTCCCATATGATGTTGGAAGTCTGATGGTTTAGGGGTTGATTTAGGTGAGGTTTAGGGTTTGTTTGGGGCTCCCTTAGGGTTGATTTAGGGTTGATTTAGGTTTGGTTTAAGGTAGGTTGGGGTTGATCTAAAGGAGGGGTGATAATGATTCAAGCAAAGGTACGCTTAACGGCCCCCGCATGATGTTTGCACGTACGAGAAGCCCAACAGCTTTTCAGGAAAGGCTGGGTGGTTTCAGGAGGTGCCAGGTGGTTTCAGGAAAGACTGGGAGGTTTCAAAAAACGCTGGAGTGGTCCATCAAAGATTGGTGGTGGTTTCAGGAAAGACTGGCTGGTTTCAGGAGAGGCTTTGTGGTTTTGAGGTGCCGGGTGGTTTCAGGAAAGGCTGTGTGTGTGGTTTCATAAGTGGTTATGGATTCAGGAAAGGCCGGGTGGTATCCTGGGCGGTTTCAGGAAAGGCTGGGTGGTTTCAGGCCGGGTGGCGGTTTCAGAAAAGACCGGGTGGTTTCAGGTTGGGGTTGATCTAAAACTGTTCGGGGGGCGGCAGCCCCCCCCTGATGTTGGGAAGGGTGATGACTCAGGCAAAGGTACACTTGGTCTAAGGGAAGGGTGATGATTCAAGCAAAGGGGTGCTTGATCTAAAAGACCGCCGGGGCTTGGCGGGGGCCCCATGATTTCAGGCAGATGGTTTAGGGTTGATTCAGGCGAGGTTTAGGGTTTGTTTTCGGTCCCCTTAGGGTTGATTTAGGTTTGGTTTAAGGGTTGGTTTGGTTTCAGGAGGTGCCGGGTGGTTTCAGGAAGTTTTGCTGGTTTCAGGAAGATTTGGTGGCTTTAGGAAAGGCCGGAAAGGCTGTGCGGTTTCAGGAAAAGTTTGGTGGTGTCAGGAAAGTCTGGGGTTGTTGCAGGAAAGGTTGTGTGGTTTCAGGAAAGGCTGGGGTGGTTTAGGAAAGGCTGGGTGTTTTCATGAAAGACCGGGTAGGTGGTTTCAGGAAAGGCTAGGTGGTTTCAGGAAAGACGGGGTCATTTCAGGAAAACCTTGGGTTCTTGTTCGCACTCCGTCGGGGCCTGATTGCTACCCCTCAGGGCCCGATTGGCGGGCCCTGATTGGTACCTCGCCTGGCGGTGGAATCACTTTTAGGAACCAGGTGGAGGATGGTTTTTACAGAACCACACAGGACTCCCTTGTTAGGCGCCAGGGGGTGGATGTCTTTTTCAGGAACAAGATGGGGGTCTCCTTTTTCCGGAACTAGGTGGTGCATTGTTTTTTCAGGACAGGTGGACGGCGGACTCCTTTTTCAGGAGCCAGATAGTGGATTCCCTTTTTCAGGAACCAGATTGCAGCTTTCCGCATGTTCGGGAACTAGATGGCTGACCGTCCTTTTCAGGAACCATGTTTTCAGGAACCCGGAAATGTCCCGCGGCGTTCTCGACTCAGCGTTCCCGACTCCCGACAAATGTTCTCGACTCGTTGTTCTTGACTCTGCCCGAACCCGAGCATTGGACGGCGGCAATCAGTAAAGTACAACAAGTTGGTGAGCGTTTGTTGCAGTTCTTCCTGTTCAACCAAGTGATCCCAGCTGAAGGCGTTCCTGGCCTGCCATCTTGGAACCGCCCCACTTGGCTGAGGAAGAGCCCGCTGACGTGGCACAAGACTCAGAGCGAGCAGGCCCGAAGGGCGGCAGAGAAGGGCTCGCGGGCGTCGCAGGTCTTTGGATCTTGCCACTTGCCCGGCGGGGAGAATTCCCTTTTCTGCGAGGGTGCCCCACTGTTAGGGATGTGTCAAAAGGAAGACCAATTGATCCTGCCCTGTCTGCCCCAAAAAACTGAAACTGTTCGTTTTGGGGAATGCTCCAAAAAGGCACCACGAAGCCAACCAAATGTGTGGCCACTTTTTTGCGCGTTGATGTGTTTTTTTTGGTTCGGGACAACAAGGCTGTCTACCCCACCCCTCCCATTCAACACCTTCCGCCTGGCTTGGATGAGTTTGGATGACTAGCCACTTGCCGGTGCAGGACTGCGGGGTTGAGGTGGATTAGACCCTCAAACCCTGCCTGACGGTTGAACGGGGGGTGCAGCCTTTCTTCCACCAGGAGTGGACCCTTGCCATGAAGGACATCCTTGTGGACGGCAAGCCGCTCCATGTGACTCGACCTGGCTGGAGCTGAGCAGAGAAGACATACATTTTTTTTTTTTTTAAATATATATTTTTTATATACGGACATAGTCCAAGAAAGTTCTTCCCCTGCCATTTCTCATTCTCTGAACCTTGACGCCTTGAGGACTCCAAACTCCGAGCGCCTCAAAGGAGTGGAACGGACCTTGCGTCCGGGTTCCCTATATTTCTCCTTCCTCTCTGTTGAAATTGCTTCAGATTGATCGCATTCTTCAAGCCTTCATCCACAGAGTGATGGGCAGTCTGGAATTAATTGACAGATTGAGCAGATGATTCTTTGTTACCCCAATTATACGATGGATAATTGGGGGTACGAATTGAGCGCATACAATGATTCCACCTCGCGGGCGGGCCATTCGCCATCGAGGAGATTCGGCAAGCATCGTATTCCTTGACAAGGGCTAACTGTTCCTGTTCCTATCCTTTTCATCGCATGCAAGGTACTCTTTCTCAATGAGGTGTTCAATCCGATGTTGAAGATGAGGGACCTCCACAATGAACAAACCTAAGACCAACCACACCAGCCCAAACCCAACCTGCCAAGACCTTTCTGCTTGTGAGGAGCCCCGCTTGATTCGTTCCAGGACCAAACCTCCTTTCCAACAAATCATTGAAGCGGACAAGGTTTAGAGACCATCTGTCCACTTCCATGGACCTCGCTTTTGTATCTAGGGAGCCGGAAACCATTGGGTTAAGCCAAAAAGCACTCGAAAACCCAAGATGTCTTCTTCCATGAAACAACCATGAACACACACACACACAATTTCTAGAAAAGACGGACACATTCCAAGGCCGTTTCTTCCAAAACGCGCGCCAAAGGGCGGGGCCACCGCTTTTGGTTCGATCCGCGAGATCTGCGACGACCGGGCGGACGGGCTGTGCCCGGCGGTGGTGGACACCGGGAGCTCGCTGATCACGGGGCCCTCCGGGGAGGTGGAGCAGCTGCGCCTCGTTGCACTGGGGCGGCGGAGGGCGGAGGGCGGGTTCGGCGCGGGGGGGGGGGCTGAGGGCGGAGGGCCTCGTGTTTTTGGTTGCTGTTGCTTGAAAACTCAGGGTATGTCAACCTCTGAGTGAAAAGAAGAGGAGCCTCCGACTTGAACCATTCTGTAAGGTGATCCAAGACTGGTAGGTTTGGTTTCCATTTGGTCAACCCAACCAGACAAGCAGTGTCCACCTCAACAGACAGAGACAACCATGGGAATGACAGTAGATGGATGCCATAGGATTCCGCTCGGTGCTCATCATTTTTAACTGAACCCATCCATTTTTCCAGATGGACTACTTTCCTCTTCTGGACATGCCAATTTTGAGTGAGGATACTTTTGGTGAGGCGAGGGTTTGTTTGGGGGCTTAGCTTGGTTTCCGTCTATTCTTTGTTTCTATCCATTGCAACTGCTAAATGGGAAGAACTAGGCCCCCTAAAGGTTGGGTTCCTCTAAACAGGGGTTCCCCACAAAACAATCACAAGCACAGACAAAGGCAACAACAAAAGCAAAAACAAACGCAAACACAAACACAACAGAAGCACACGAAACTACCAACCCACTCACACCCACACCCACCCACACCCGCACAGCCACACACCCACACAGCACACCCACACCCACACAGTCACACACCCACATACACGCACACAGACGCGCACGCACACGCGCACACGCACGCGCACACGCACGCGCACACGCACGCGAACACGCTCAGACGCCACGGGTGCATGGACGTGCGGCTCCGTGGAGCAACGCGAGCTCAGGTTGGGCAAGGTGCGGCTGAAGGACGACTGCAGCAATCTGGCGCCGCACCAGCGTTGCGTGCAGGGGCCGGGATTTGTTCTCCTCTCCACTTCGAAATGCCAGTCTTTTGGGTATGAGGTCAATCTGATTGAAATCTCTGCAGGTACTCACCTCGCCCGGGCAAGTAATGCAAGTACACGGGGAAGGAGTTCGATCAAATTCATACCCGATGAAACCTGCGGGCGCAGTTGCTCGCCCACCCAGAAAATGCCGAGTGTCCTTCGGGGGCGTCAAGGGACCCTTGTTTGCACCACTTGATACGGACGCAATATGAAGAAGGCCGAGAGGGCAACTCGAACTGGGGACTTGCATCACAGCCAAAGTTGATGAAATACCAATTTCCCTGTTAGCCCTCCAGTGGCAGCCATGGTGACCTTTGTGAATTTTTGCACCCCCCCCCATTTATCAAGAGGAGCTCGTTCATCGAAGTGGCCCAAACTGGACATACAGACTTCGTCTTGTGTGTTGGCAGATCAAGCAGCGCATTTGGACTCCTGTTGGATGGTTTGAAAGGTGAAACAAGTGGATGCCAGAAAAAGGCCCATAGGAATTCCTGCTTGCAAACCATCTATCCTGCATTCTGCGTGAAAGGCCTGCATTGGACTAGCTGCAACTCGAGAGAGGTTCGATCAAGTTGCTCATAGATTGGGGAGTGGATCCCTGTCGCCACTCGGGTCAAGTTTGCAGGTTGATGGCCATCGGTGTTTGTGTTCATTTAACCCTTCGGGTTAAATCATGACCATGACCCAAATTTGGGAGCTTCGACCACACGTAGGTGGCAGAGAGTCGTGGCCATTTGGGTGTGGGTCAAAATTAAACCACCAGGGGACCGCAGGTTTTGGTCCATGGGTTCCATTTTGGGTACCTATTTCTGACCCACAGCCATTTCTCACCACCCCCCAAAAAGTTCAGACGCACCTCAGTCGAAGCTGCCCACCGTCAGCATCCGTCTGGCTGACAAGAACGGCATCTTGCCTCAATGGGTTTGACGGAGGGCACTCGGGGAGTGTCCTGGCCAGGGCTCCATTTCTTTGTTTTCCGCGGGTTGTACCCCCCCCCCCCCCCCCCGTTTTTGGGGATGCACATAGAAGATATGCTTTGTGGGGTCCTCCCATTTGCACCCTTTGGGTGATAAGCATCCACCTTCTGGTTGACAACCCCGAAGTGAGCTGCTAAGTTACCTTCAAGGTTCACCCCACTCAACACGTTAGTTAGAAACAAGGTCATACAGCGGTTAGTTCCTTCAAGTAATCACAGAATCCCAGGAGCAGATATGCTCCTAGCTTGCTGCTTGCTTGATGTGGGAGAAGCATCTCCCCCCAAAGTTATATTCCTATCCCCTTGCGTTTCAGAAGGACCCAGCACAGATTGATCAAAGTGGGACTTGAAAATGCACTCAGGATGGTCATCAGGGCTTTGAGAAGGCCATTTGCAAGCGTTACAGTAGGGATCTTGGCTCAAGAAACTTAACACATGACGCGCGCGGCGCTTTGCACCTTTCATCTTGGCGATCTGAACGGGACGCAAACAGGAAGACCATCTGCGCGCGTGGGGTCCGTCTTGAGAAACATGCGTGCTGAAAGCAGGTGAGAAAGGAGCATTCTGGTCTCGAAACTCTGGCGGCTGATCCTGGCAAATTAGCTCAGGTGTGCTCACGGACTATCCGCTGACGCCGGAGGAGACTTCTTCAGAGTGTAAGAGAGTCTGTCGTGGACCGGGACGGGCATCGTAATGGGCTTGACTGATCGCACAGAAGCCACCACAAAACACTCCCCTGCTGAATGGGCAAGCTTGAAACTTGTGGGTGGAAGCCCAGGCTGCGTAGCTGTTGCAAGGGCCTTATGCCAGGCAATGCCCCATGGCCCATGGCTTCGTAGGAGTACACTCTGAAGAGCCTGGATGAAGTGCCGCAGACCGGGAACTCGGAGTACCTCAAGGACATTTGTCGCCGTCGCCGTGGCCAACCGGTTTCACCCCCCCAAAATGGTGGACGGAGGGAGGGGGAAATCTGTTTCGGGGGTTGCCCTCTTTTAGGGGGATGGCGGTTGAAGAACAGCGGCAAGCCAGGCGGTTTACGGACAAAGGGCACCCAAAGCCCAGCGTCAAACATGTGGGGTCTGTCTCAAGCTAGGACCCCCAAACTGGCAAATGGGTTCCTTCTGGTTTCCCTTGTGTTTCCAACCAAAGAAAGGATTCCCCAAGAGTAAGAGAGGTCCATGTCTCACCGCGTCTGAGGAGTTGGATTCCAACGAAAAACACGACAGGCCAAGTCATGTCGCCGCGTGAAACCTGCGAAAGGAGTTCCCAGTGCTGGGGGGCTCCGGGGACACGGTGCCGGAGGTGCGGCCCAGGTGCGACCCCGGGCTGGGCGCCCCTTGGCTCGGCGCGACTCTCGCGCGTCCGGCGAATTTGAGCGTCCGGCCGAGCTCGTAAGTTGTTCACCTGAGTTACCCGCCAAAAAGCTCCCCCTAAATGGAGCTATATAACCGCTTCGAACCTAAGTTACAACCAAGGTTGTTAACCTACCCTCCCGCCAACTAGCATGGAAGTGCAGAAAGGCCCTTTCCAAAGAGTTGAAAGTAGTCTTTCTGCAGGGTTTTGTTCACCTCCACGTTAGCCGGTGGGAGGGTAAGTTACAACCCACTTATTCAGACTCCCTAAGTGGAGTTAACCTTGTTGTGAGTGAGTTATACAACCCAGGTGGCTTACCACGTACTAACTTGGCCGAACATCCGGGAAACTAAAGGCAACCGTGCCATGTAAAGGCATCTCTGGTTTCTTCTTGGCTAAAAGAAACCAAAAGTAAATGAGGCAACCCCAAAACGGGAGGCGCCCAGCTTGCTAGCTTTGGGGGCCTTTGGAATGGTAGTTTGCTCTAAAGCGGCCCGGTGTCAGAGGCTTTTTGGGAGACAAGAAGCTTAGACGCCACAGGGTTGGAGTTCAGTCCAGCCGATGTTGGGGAACAATTAGCCACCTGGAACCCTCACTTTGTCATTTTTTCTTCCCACTACCCTTGAGTCACAAAATCACCGACCGCCCCTGTTGCTAGCATGGGAACGGCACCCACGGAAAAATGGGTCGGCTTTGTTTGGGTCAACTACGTTTTGGATGGATGCAAAGGGACCTCATCAACGCATGGCTTGGTACCTGAAATCAAGGTTCTTTGGATTGAGGGGATCCCTTTATTTGGGGTCTCTGCTCCCTGGATCCTTGGTTTACCTCCGCATCGTGGTGTCGTGGACGTCAGGTTCATCAGGCACGTCTCCAGTCTAGGTCTTATCAAAATAACAGGCAAGAACATGCCCGTGCAGGTCGTAGGTCATGCATCTTCAACTTGGCGACCCTTGCTTCTGGTGGTGATCCCTGTCAAACACTTGGGGGGTGGGAATCACCAGGGCTTCACCTTGTCGGCACATCAATCATTCTGGGCTTGGGGGGATTTCTTGGGGAGGGTGACCGTTGGACCGCAGCCTTCAATATTTAGCACAGGGACGTTGTAGAATTGAGTGGAAGGACGGTAGATTCCCTGAAGATTGCATCTTGAACCAACCACAAAGTAGGGAAGAGTGTCAGGGAGACTTTGTACCCCACTTGCAAGATGTCGGGACATCTCCCTACAATTTCGGGAGTACAGTTGTGTGTGAAACAACTCAAGGACCCTCCAGGATTTTTCCACACTTGATGAACTTTCTTGCACTATTGTGGGACACCCCCCCCCCGTTACCGTATGTGGCAGTGAACATCCATTGGACCCCCTCGTCTTCCATCGCTTCCTGGGCCTGAGGTCATGGACGTGCCTGGCCGGAAGTGGGCTGCGGCCCCAGGGCTCCGAACATGGGCTGCGGAAGCCTCTTTTGGAGCCTTTCGCTTTTGGAGCCTTTAGCTTTCTGTGAACCGTTTGGAGCCAATGCAGCGTTTCCTATTCACCATTTGGAGCCTTTAGCGCTTTCTGTCTCCTTCGACAATTGGTGCCAACCAGCCACGCGGCTAGTCCTAGTCCTCCGAAGTTGACTGGTCTGGCGCAACGTCTTCGACGTTTTGGTGCCCCTCAAACAAGAGCGGCACCAAAAGGTCGCCGTGCACCCAGCACGGCCAGGTCATTGGCGACACCTTCCTTAGGCGGGGAAGGGGAGAGGCTGGTCAGCCGGGTGTACCCACGTTTTGGCCGCCCGTTTTTTGGGGAACATGATGAAAAAAAGGCAGTCTAGACGAGTCGACATCTTCTTGAAGGGGGCTGTTTAGATTCTTGGTTAGGCGTTTGCCCAATCAACCCCGTGCAAGTGGCTTTCAGTGCACGAAGAAAACACATATTTGACGGGTTAGGAACCAATGGCAGACGGTATTGAGGAGTGGAGCAAGCTTCTCCTGACAGACGGAGATGCTTTGGACCCAGACCAAGTTGCACCAGTTTGCAAAATCAATCCTCTTTTTTTCTCCTTCATCTTTTTTCTCCTTCAGCCACTGATTAAAACGCCTTGGTTAATTGACAGGGGCTCCAAATGCTGGGGATTGATCCCGTTGTGCCGTGTTCTGTACAGGCGGTACTACTCCATCTTCGACGACGATCGCGGCCTCGTAGGGTTTGCCAAGAGCATCCATCCAGACGAGGCAGGACCCTGTCGGCGGCTTTCTTCGGCTGCAGCAGGTTTTGGCGGTCAGCTCACAGGCAGGTCAAAATCAGCGGTTCCCATGGTGGCCTTCTGGTTTCCATGAAGAATTTGGTGGGTCTCTATGTCCCTTCCAATGAACTGTAGGCTACCGGACATTTTGTCCAATTCAGCTCTCTGGAAACCTGAGCAAGGAGCATGCTTGAGCATAGGCTTCTTAGTGCCAATGGAGGACCCCCAAGCGGCGCTTCCTCAAACTGTGAACCCCAGGTTTGCGCTTCGCAAAGAAGCACGGGAAAGCCCACGATTTCTGGGGATCTCCAAGTTTACCGAAGCGCTCGTGTCAGCGTTTAATCCTTGCCGAAAGTTGTACGACCATCGGCTGCAGCATGGATGGGCTAGCGCTGTTCCTAAATTTCCTGGTGAGGCCTCTTTCAGTCCGTTTAGTTCAAACGTTTGACGATCACAGATTTGGCCAATCACTATTCAATTGCATTGGGTTTCAACCGCCGGGTGGAACGTTGCATTGTGAGGCTCTTTGGCTGAGGTCCTCAACATTCGTCACAGTTCTGCAAGCTCCAAGTCCGATATCGCCGGACCCTCTAACCCCGCATGCCACTTAAACCGGTGGCCACCTTGCCACCGTCGGGCATAGCCACGAGGGTCTCATGGAGCTCTGGGACTGATCTGGGATTGCGCGACTGGCGCGATCCACATGGAGGGGAAGCCCCGCAACGCATCCGCGTCCTCCGCCGGGCTCAGCGTTTTGCATCGCCCGTTCTCGGCGTGACAAATGTCGATGGAGCCCGGAGGCCCAGAAGACCGGCCGGTGGGAATTCACCCCAATAATCCCCCGAGCCTTGATGAGGTCCAAACAGCCCTCTGTGGCTGCAGTTTGCCAAGACAAATTGACAATGGACCATTCCACAATGGACCTTAGGTCTTCCCAAATGGTTAAAACCCTGGGGACCTCCCCTGAAACATGAGGCGGACCCCCAAAACGGTGCCCCCCCCCCCAAAAAAAAACCACCAGGAATCTTAAACCTTGATCACCAAAGGAAAGATCGGAGAACTCATGATCAGAAAATCAAAGCTCATGAAGGGATACAATTCAGTCTTCGCTCAAGGTGTAAGCGGCCTTGACAATATACACCGATCCGCATACCCCAGGTTTTTCCTGGAACCGATTTTTTTGCAAGATCGACGCCTCGTTTAGAAAGGAGTTGGCACTATTTGACCCGTGCCAGGCATATTGGCTACGGGGTATGAAGGATCCTTTTGGGTGGGCCATCCGGCAAGGACCTTTCTCGAAACGCTGGCAGAAGGAACCCAAGGGGTCCTCCGAAAAGAGAGTCCTCGACTGGGCGATGTGTTGACACAAATTACCACCAACAAAAGGTGCAACTGGTCCGAGCCTGCCAGCAATATGTTGATTTTGAGGAGAGTGCGAGGGTTTGCCAATGTGCTACTTGTACGCCTCTTGGTTTCCGAACTCCTTCGGCAGCACAGGCTGGGGGTGTCCTGAAGTCGTTGGTTCTCGTTTTGGGGGTTTAAGTGCCGACCAAGCGAGGGTCCACCCCCGAGTTGTATCCAGTCCCTGCGACTCCGGCCCGCCGCCCGCCTCAGGCCCGCTGACGAGGCCGCGGGGTGGCCGTTTCTCCTCCCCAAAAGGAAGCCAACAGGGGAAGGGAAGTGGCGCAAATCCTCCACGGCGCCTTTCTCTGGCACCTAGTGAAACTTGGGAACAATTTGCAGAGCTGCCTGGTGCGCACTGTCTCGACCGGGGGTCTTCAGGGGAGGGGCAAAAATCCGCGTTTTTGGGGACCTGCCGCCAGCACAGCGACGGCACTCCCACGGAGCTCTCGGCAAGCTTCGGGCTTGAGGCGGAAAGGGCCGAGGGGTTTGGGGTGCTCAGGGGGTTTACCCCAGTCAAAGGACCAACTGGTGCGAAGTGGATTTGGTCCTGAGTATTACGAGCAAACAATTTTGTTCGGAGTACCACAAGAATCCGATGGGGGACCGGAGAACCGAACATGGTCCATGTTGCGGGCAGCAAGAGACCTTCCCAGGACGCAAGAGTTCTCAGATGAGCTTTCTTGGATGTCCGCTCCGGTACCATAATTATTCTAGTATTCTACAATTGTATCGCCTAAAAGGGTAAGGGACTGCGTGGGGTGGGAAGCTGTTATGAGTGGTTCACCCAGATCCTGCAGAGTTGCGAAGAATCACTTGGCCATTGGCTGGAAGTGTCCAGATTTGCCAGCTTGCACAACAAGTCGTATTGTGCTTGCTGCAGTCCGTGCCCCTGACAGCCGACATAGTTCCGGGACTGGGTGTCCACTCTTTCCACACAGCTCGCCTTGAGCCAACAAAAGACTGTGAGGTTGATGTCATGATAGATGGGGGTTCCCAGGACAGGAAGCTTCCCCTTTTTGTTCCGGCTTCACAGGGAAAATGGTAAGCCCGCCAAAAGAAGAGGGTTAATACTTAGGCAACACCAGTTGCAATGTGGGCAGTCCACCAACCTTCTGAATTGGTCACCCCCTTGAAGCGATCACAAGAACATGCGGGCATTTGGAGTAGGGGGCGCCACCATCTTCAAAGGGAGGCAAAGATGCTGGATCTTGTACTACCAACATAGGTTGTATAGCCGAGTATATTCCTTCATTCAGTGGCAGAAACACCTCCATAAGCCTCCATACCTTCAACGTGCATGTCTGAGCACGACCTCGAGCACCCGACAGGTCAGTTGGAACCTGCGGGGCCCGGGCGATTCGTCCCGCTTTTTCTTTCCAAGAGGGAGGAAGCAGATCATCAGCCTCGCTGATTGGGTTTTTGGTTTCTTTGGGCAAGTCAAACATCCTGGCAGGGATTGGGTGTGCCGGCCGAAAGGTTGTTTTCTTCGCGTATCCGTGGCTTTGGGGAAGCATTCTCGCGAACTCGCTGTGGAATGCGAGGCCAAGACCGTGCTGACCTCCGTGTCGCCTTCTGGGATGCCCTTCTTCTGTGCAGGCGCGGGGTGGGTGGGTGGGGGATGAAAGCACGGAAGGCTTGGTGGACCTAGGTGTCCCTCTTCCAGAAGTGTCATCTGATTCAAAAATAAATCATTGCAAACAGTCTAGTCCGAGATTCCTTCTGAAAAGGGCTTCTGGGCTCTCGGTCGCGATTTTTCGTGTGGGCTTCGAAAAGCATATATGCGCATTTCTATCATACAGCGCCTGCTCTTATATAGGTTGCAAGTTGTTCCATCCACAACCTGTTTTTGCCTCTAGCCATTGTGGGGTCCAAAGCACAGGTTGGGGGCTCAGTCGACAATTGATGTTCACCGTGGCTTTAGGGAATGTGTCGAATGGAAGGCGCCCAAGCTGGCTTGTTTCAGGTGAGTCTCCCCTAAGAAAGGGTTACTTTCTCACGAACCTTGCCAAGGCGTCCATTTCGAGAGGCCCGTCAAAGGAGAAAGCTGTGCACTCCGACCCCTCGTTCTGCGGAACACATGTGGGCAAGGGCAACCCTCCCGTGGCCACGGACCTCCCAAAACAGCCACCTGACAGGAACCCTATTAGCCCCCCGGCCCCAATCGTCGCTATGGGCCCCTATTTGGATGGGGGAGGAATTTTTGACAGGCGTTGGGCACCTCAAACTTCGGGCCTCAGCTGTCATTGCCAGACTTGGACGAGGTGAACGCCGACAATTTGTCACCCAGGCGGACCTCTCGGAAGCCAGAGCGTCGATGTTGGCTTGTGGACGTGCGACTGTTTTGGCAAGTTGCCAGTTGTGATTTGCTTGTACCCAGAGTCTCCATGACCCCTTAAAAATGGGGTCATTGCCAAAAATAATTGGGGTCATGACCCCATTTTTCAAGGGTCATGGAGACTCCAGGTATATGCCGTTGCTGCTCGCTTCCCTGCTCGCTTCCTTGCTTGCTTGCCCCCAACTTTGGGATCGTGAGGGCACGACGCCTGAGACGCGCAGAAAAGCAAAGATGCAGAGGAAGAACTGATATCTAAGAGGAAGTCCTTGTGCTCAGGGTTCTATGATCCCCAGGTTTACATCCCTAGGAAAAATCATGGATTTGAGCCTACTTCGGGGCTACTTCGTAAATGGAACCCTGCCTGTGCTTGGCGATTTGGCAGTTTGATTTGTGAGTGTTTTTGGCTCCATTGGGGTTTTGATTGTGGGTTCCATGCCAGCCGTGAGTTTTTTTGGCGTTCAGCCCCGTTTCCTGGTAGGGATGAACCCATGGAGCTTCGCCGCCGCATTTGTCAAAGGACTGGATGAAATACAGGAGATGGAAGAGGAGATGGCTTTCCTGTGGAACGATTTGCTAGAGATTCTCCTTTTGACCGGACCCTTTAAACCTGGTGCACCTACTCTTGGCCCCTGGAACTGTGATGAGAACGACTGGATGCAAAGCCAGAAAGTTGCGCCTGTCAAAATCCTATCCGAGTTTTCCGACACACCTGCTAGTCATTCCAATTCGGATGCCCCGCTTGAATCCCTCCTTTTCAAGGGAAGTTGAGGAGATCAACGAGTTGCCTGTGAGTGAGTCGTTTGTTGGTTGTGTGTGTGAGACGGACATGGAAGGAACAACGCAAGACTGTTTGCTTGAACGGGTATGAAGCAGCTGGTGCACCCGTGGTGGACATCATTTACATGCGGAGTTGATACCCATTTAGTTTTTAGGGTTCTCCGACCAGAAAAAGCAACTACATATAAACATCACCTCCATGTCAAAATCCAAGACTGATCTTGGCCAAAACGGCCTGGGCGTGGAAATCGACTCAGCTCCGCTTGTCGCGTGGGCAGGCCCGATGTGAAGCTTGCTTCGGAGCGCCTTTGGCGCAAAGGGGCCGGGACGAAGTTTTTTAAATATGGGATTCGGACCCGCTTGTGGTTGGTGCCTACAAGGAATCCAAAAGGACACTTTTGGATTCCACCCCTATTTTTGCCCGTCGGCTGAAACTTCTTGGGGTCGGAACCAAGATCAGAGAGGTTCCGGAGGTTCCCGGCTGTCGGAAAAACCAACCTGGGCTTGTTGTTTTGTAGTGATTTTGTTGGGTGGGGGGAACCAATCTGCAAATCTGCCAGATTAGTCTGAGGTCAGCA